AGTCTCATGTAGTGACCACTTCATCCCGCTAATGAAAGTCTCATGTAGTGACCACTTCATCCCGTTAATGCAAGTCTCATGTAGTGACCACTTCATCCAGTTAAGGTCAGTCTCATGTAGTGACCACTTATCCCTTAAAGGTCAGTCTCATGTAGTGACCACTTCATCCCGTTAAGGTCAGTCTCATGTAGTGACCACTTCATCCCGTTAATGCAAGTCTCATGTAGTGACCACTTCATCCTGTTAATGCAAGTCTCATGTAGTGACCACTTTATCCCGTTAATGCAAGTCTCATATAGTGCCCACTTCATTCCGTTAATGCAAGTCTCATGTAGTGACCACTTCATCCCGTTAAGGTCAGTCTCATGTAGTGACCACTTCATCCCGTTAAGGTCAGTCTCATGTAGTGACCACTTCATTCCGTTAAGGTCAGTCTCATGTAGTGACCACTTCATCCAGTTAAGATCAATGTACGTTCACTTCATCCGTCCCAACCTTAAGGCTAGTCTCATGTAGTGACCACTTCATACCGTTAATGCAAGTCTCATGTAGTGAACGCTTTATCCAGTTAAGGTAAATGTATGACCACTATATCCGTCGCTAGCTTAAGGCCAGTCTCATTTAGTGACCACTTCATCCTTTGCTACCTTAAGGTCAGTCTCACGGTCTTATGAGGTGACCACCCCATCCCCCGTCGCTTGTGACTTTTCTCGTCCTACTGTAGGAAGTATTTGATGCAGAATCCGCCTTGTTTGCAAGCAGCAGCTTCACATAGAAACAAACAAAGGCGACGACAAATGAATGGAGAAAATTATGTCAAACGCGAGAATGTGTCGACAAATGAATGGAGAAATTTGAGTCAAACGCGAGTAGATCTATGTATCGACAAAGGAATGGAGAAGATGGTATCACACATGATTATGTTTCCTGGCTGATTACATATCTTAGTAAAATGTGTTCTAAACGTATGTGTCCTTGCTTGTTCTAGAGAATTGTCCTATTACATAGCCTAAAAATTAGGTCATATAATACATGTGGCCTCAAAGATTTTGTTTCTTAAGTCGGTATTATAAACATTACCATTCAGATTTTTTCCTTAAACAAAAGTATTAAAACTTGTTTTAATTAACGACTTTTAACACGCAGTTTAAAAAAATATCTATCTTTGATTCTAAATTACACAATGCTCAATGCTTCAGTAATCTTAATTAACCTGATTGTATACAATGCTTACCTGAAAGTTACAATCTGAAACAAAATAATACAGAAAGTAACTCATTTTTTTGGAGAAAGAAAATGTTAAAGCAGAGGCGTAGCGACCCTTCCCGGCGCCCGGGGACAAACTTATATGCACCCCCCCCCCCTCGAACTTTTCATTTGCACCCCCCCCCCTCAACTTTCGATTTGCACCCCCTCCTCCTCGATATTTTCATTTGCACCCCCCTCAAACTTTCAATTTGGCGCGCCACCCCCCTCCCCTCGCTACGCCTCTGTGTTAAAGTGAACGGAAAACTGCAAACTCGGAAACATTTTAAAATCAATATTCGTCCAGAGAAAAAATACGCTACGGAATTTTTCCCCGCACCTGTGACTTTTTGTTTCAGCCAGTTTTACGACTTCCTTAACAGGTACCACTGGTGCTCTATAAATATCGCAGCAGGGGACATAATCATGACTTCACCGAAGATTAAATTCTACAGTCGCTGCCCACGTCAATCATACATTAAAAATTCTTATAAACCTATGTACACACTGGTGTGATTTATTTTAATAACAAGGCGCGTCTTGCTCTAATATACAGTTAAGTCTTTGATTAGAATGAAGTCCAAAAAAAAACCACTTCTTAAAGGTGTTGCTTGTCTTTTGTGTTTAATACCCCGCGTTTACTTTGAGATTTAATTGATAAAAGAAAACGACTGGGCTGGTGTTAAAGTCAAATGTGACCTCGATAACCTCTTGACAAGTTTTCATTTTAATCAAGTCTGGTTTGTCGCATGCTATGTGTGTGGGTTTATGAACTTCAAAGAGAATAAAATCAAACTACGAGAATTGAGTGGAGGATTAAACTGTAAAGTGAACAACAAAAATGTTTTGTAGGTTACGGGACTTGTCGTGAGAAGAAAATGAGACAGACATGAAAAAATTTAACCGAATTCCTGTACTGGAACATTTTTTGTGTTTTGTTGTTTTTTTTTACAAATAATTTCGTTTTTAATTGATTGGAAATGTGTCGTATTTTTTTCTTGTGTTGAAATCAAATAAAAATACAGTATGGTTGTGTTCTAAAAAGCATTGTGTACTTTATATAAAACGCGGCCGTATACATCTATTTATAGACTATAGATTATTGAAATGTGGTTGCAGGTAGGAAACAGTTGTCAGAATATGCCAATGCTACGCTAATGAACACGCGTTTTGAATTTTTAAAGAATTTTTAAATAATGGAAACCGAATAATGAATTAGTCTTATAAATCACTTAAAAGATCGTCATTGAATTTAACAGTTTCGTAAAATAAGATAAGGGCCACACCTAGAAACGCGATGTCAGACGTCGAAGACTTAATTCAAGTAGACATGGTTTACTAAGACTGTGCTTTATAAACAAGGCCGTAATTAATCAGGCTGAGATAATTAACTTCAAGCAGTGAAAACAAGTATGAACATTTCTGGCATTGTTGTTTTTGTTAATTACCGCGATGGACCATTTGTTTATATTCAAGACAAAAGTTAATGGAGTTTTGTGAAGCGATTCGTTACGAGGAAAGAATACTTCGTTGTTTACTTCTTGGATCATTTGAACTTCAAGATTTTCAGGATATTTTCGGCGTGTATGTGTTTTAAATGTGTTTTCAGAGCTGCAATATAATTATAGCTACTGTAACTGTAATACAATTTTTTTATGTAAATGCAGTATTTAAACCAGTCAGTAGTTGATCAAAAATTTTTACATATCGATATAATCATTTGGAAATAACTTATGATGTGGCGTCGAAATAATAAGCCGTGTGAATGATGGCAATACTGCCCTAAAATCGTCAGCTACTTGGAAATCAACAGCTGCCCTAAAATCAGTTACTGCCTGGAAATCAATAGCTGCCTGGAAATCAACAGCTGCCTGGAAATCAACAGCTGCCCGGAAATCAACAGCTGCCCGGAAATCAACAGCTGCCCGGAAATCAGTTACTGCCTGGAAATCAATAGCTGCCCGGAAATCAACAGCTGCCCGGAAATCAACAGCTGCCCTAAAATCAGTTACTGCCTGGAAATCAATAGCTGCCTGGAAATCAATAGCTGCCCGGAAATCAACAGCTGCCCGGAAATCAACAGCTACCCAGAAATGAGTCACTACCCAGAGTTCGGAAAATGAAAACTGATTTACGACCTATTACAAACCACTTGAACACTCTTCAACTACCGGACATCACAACGGAACCGGACAAATCGAATCCGGAAAAAACACACCAATTCAACCCCCAGACAGCTATCACCCAGTACACACACCATCTTTCATACAGCGCCCAGTTAAAGGATTACATAACACGGTACAAAAAGAGGCCATCGGACATAAAACACTGGCCATATGGCCCATATTGGCCCAAGGAGCTCAATAGTATAATATTAGATACACCTCGGCATATTTATACCTGTATCAATCATGTAGAGCCTTTGGTGCATGCGTCTGAAGTGTTGACAAATGGGCTTTCGGCATTAGGTAGGTCGCACAATTTGGCCTTCACTTTACAGTATAGAACCTCAAAAGAAAAGTATTTAATATAGGCTGAATTATTCGAGTGTTACTTTTACAATCTAGAGGGAAGAATAACTCAAGTTTAAATAGATGATGCCGAATAGCATCTGGGTAATGCATACATAATGTGTCGACGTGTGTGACTAATTCAACACAGCACATGTCGTGTTGTTTGGCTATCTGGCTAATTCATTACACAACACTTCTTACCAGTGGCGTCTTTAGGTCTCAAGGTGTCATCCCCCATTTTTCTCACAATAAATTTTACAATCATTCACCCCCCCCCCCCCGTAAAAGCTTGTAAGTGTTCTCATTTAATACTAATGATGTTTATCTATAGTCGGTTGTTAATACAGCTGGGTGTAGCATTGTTTTCTCTCCGTAAGCATGTTTAACACATAGTGTGACCTTCCTCCCCCACCCCCTCCCCCCTTCATTTTTCGGGATCGTCATTGTGTACTTTAAATACTTTTAAACTCTAATAAACCATTCATTGAACTGGCAAAAAAAAAACAATTATTCTATATATCTTGCATTTTTTTGTCTTGTTGTCACCTCCCCCACCCTAAATGGTGTCACCCGGTGCGGTACGCAACCCCTCCCACGCCTCCCGACTTCTCTGCTTCCTGCAGTATGGCTTCTCTGGCTAGTTCATTTCACAGCACTTCTTACCTAATGGCTATATATCAAAATTAAATCTCGATGTTCTTTTATGGCATTTTAAAGTTATAAGCATTAGTGTGCATGATTGTGATATAGGTAACAATTCTGTATGTTTAAGCCCTCAAAAAATACAAATAGATCATGGGGCCAGATCAATTTTTTGACATTAGACTAAAGGGCGTAATTATTCTAAGAACTTTACGTCATATAGAAAGATCTTTTTCTGGTGATTATAAAAAAAAACTGCAAGACCATTTTGTAGTTATTAGAATTTTCATGGGCTCAAATAAAAAGTTTCTTAAACCTGAGTCAGGTGTTGAGATGTAGATGCTGCCCTCTGCTCCTAAGGGGCTTCAACGAAATAAGTCAAGTACTGCGATCAGCAAGATCATTTTCTAGCGATTGGTTCATGGAGATTAATCGTTATTTCAATCGTTATGTTCTTGCTTAAGTGTGTGTGGCTAAATTGCTTAAATTGAATTGCTTTTATTTTATTTATTTATTGACCATCTGTTTTATTTCTAGTTGTGATTTTATTTTTTATTTTTTTTAAATAATTAATAGAAAATCTTTACTCTACACCACCAGAAAACAGCCGAACGATAGACACCCAGACAAGCTACAGAGGAAAATGGCGGGGAACGCAGGTGGCGTTCGATTCAGAGAGGAGCGCACGTGACTACATCCTACTTCCGGTGCCAGAGGGATGCTGCCCTACGTTGGCGTTTGAGTCGAGATTTGAGTGTGGGAACCTGAGGCAGGCGAGGCGAATGTGAGTAGGCCTTAGTTTTTTTTTCGACTTATCTCCCCCTATGTAGGTATGCTTTAGTTTTCTTTAGGCTTATCTCCCCTATGTGGATAGGCCTTAGTTTTCTTAAGAATTACCTCCCCCTATGTAGGTTGGCCTTAGTTTTCTTTAGGATTATCTCCCCTATGTGGATAGGCCTTAGTTTTCTTTAGGGTTATCTCCCCTTATGTGGGTAGGCTTTTTTTAAGGTTATCTCCCCCTGTGTGGGTAGGCCTTAGTTTTCTTTAGACCTATCTTCCCTATCTATTTCTATATGTGTAGGCCTTTTTTAAGGCTTATATTCTCTATGTGAGTAGGCCTTATTTCTAAGGCTTATTTCCCCTATATGAGTAGGCCTTTTTTAAAGGCTTATTTCCTCTATGTAAGTAGGCCTTATTTTTTTAAGGTTAATTTCCCCTAGGCCTAATATCTTAGTTTTCTTTACTTCCCATACCCGTAAAAACAGCGTGGAGTTGTTTATGGATTACTCCTTGTATAATATGTACGAGATCCTTTAGAATTCTGTTATGCTGATGTAAATTTTAGCTAGATCAAAGTTTAATGCAGATCACTTGTATTCGGAGTTTCTTTCAGGCATCTGCTCTGCAGGGCTCCAGAGTTTCTTCCGGGCATCTCTTCGGGGAGGGGGGGGGTCTGGAGTTTATATAGAAAATATATACTTTAAACAGTGTCCGCCCCCCCCCCCCCCCCACGAAAATTTTAAGTGCCCCCCCCCCCCGAGAAAAAAGTCTGGAAGAAACACTGCAGGGCTCCCCACCCTTTCTCACCCGTAGCATATCCATCCACCCTTCCCAACTACCCCCCCCCCCCCACACACACACACCCTATTAAACTTTGTTTTCATTTGAGTTTCTGTTTTCACTCTGCAGAGGCCAATACGAGTACGAGCTAGTCTTGAAGGCTGACCTATTTACAGTCAGACACACCCAATGGTATTACTTCCGGGTGACAAATGTCGTCCCGGGAATCACCTACAAATTTAGGATCGTTAATTTGTTGAAGCGAGACAGTCTTTATAACCATGGTAACCTTTTATTGATTCTAGAATATTTAATAGCGTTTTGGCTTCTAGATATTTTATTATTATTATTTTTATCTATATGTATAATTCTCTTCTGTGAGCCGCTAGAAAACAAGCTGTAAACGCGCTCCCTACCTCCCCACCACTACATGGTCTTAGTGAGCTGTGTTCACTCTAAATGTTTACAAGCAGAGCCAACGATTTTAAACGTAAGGGGGGAGAGGGAGGGGGAGGAATGGGGGGGGGGGGGGGTTAAGGTCCTTAACGGGCTACTTATAGTGTTTTAAAGAAATATTTCAGTGGCAGCGTTGGTACTGTCGAATTCACAAATTATGAATTACTGAAAAGTAGAAATTAAACAACTAAATAGCGGCGTATGTTATGCCGCGGGCCGGCTCGTTTATTATTTTTATTTATTTTAATTGAATCGAAACAAAAATGTGCATTGGAATACTGCAGATAGATCTATCTCAGGGGACGGCAACCTGCGGCTCGCGAGCCGCATGCGGCTCTTTTAATGTCAGAACGCGGCTCGCTAGTTCCATAATAAGTATATTGAGTTATTTTCATAACTCGTAAAAATATTATACTGAAAAACAACTTTAAACAAAATAAAAACACTATGAATAGGTGGAGTAGAGCGTATACAGACTGCTAACAGCTGCATGGACACAAGGCCCAGCCCAACAACTGTGATGTGGCCAGTCCCGTGGCAGTGGCTCAATGCTTTCCACTATCGAAGTGCACATTTTGGGTCCAAATATTTTCAACGAGCCCGCGGCGTATCACACGCTGCTATTTAGTTTTATTTTCTACTTTTCATTAATTCATAGTTAGTGAATTCAACAGTACCAATGCTGCCACTGAAAATATTTGCTTTAAAACACTAAAACCATCCTTTCCCCCCACCCACCCACCCCCCCCCCCCCCCCCAAACCCCCGTGAAAGCAGCCTCCGCTTAGTTACCTCCCCTAAGTTTAAAATAGTTTCAAACTAAATTATCTGCCCCTAATAGCCGTCACTTAACCCGGCTCTACGATTGTAAACATTTAGCGTGAACCACAGCTCACCAGACCATGGGGGGGAGGGGGGTGTGATGTGCCTAGACAGGAAGAGAGGGGACTGCTAGGCGCGCTTACAGCTTGTTAATGTTTTCTAACGTCCCCAAGAAGATAATTATACATATAGATAGTAACGGTTATTTTATTCAGAAGGCAATTTTGTATGTTTTAGTGAGCATTAATTTGACTTGATAGACATATTCTTATAGTTATTAGCTTTAAAATTGGGTAGGGATAGTTTTAAAATTGGATTTTATTATCCCAAAAGAACTAGTTGAAATACTTTATTATGTTTTGTGCGAAACATGTTTATGTTTTAATATGAATAAATATTTTTTCATACTTAAACCCATTTAACAAAAATATTTAGCTAATCCTAATCATACAATAATATTAGAGAACAATTTTTCACGGCTCTTTGAAAACTGGGAAATTGTGTAAATTGTAACTTTTGGCTCTTCCACCTCAAAGGGTTGAGGACCCCTGATCTATCTAGATCTGGGATCTAATCTATATCTGAGATCTACTCTAGATCTACTGATCTAGTCCAGGGGTCGGCAACCTGCGGCTCGCGAGCCGCATGCGGCTCTTTTGATATCAAGATGCGGCTCTACAGCTCTTTGAACAAATACTAATAATCTTAATAAAAAAATAAAATATTTGAAATAAAGAAATGTTAGTGGCTCTTTAAAACCAGGTAAATATTGAAAATTGTAACTTTTGGCTCTTCCGCTTCAAAAGGTTGCCGACCCCTGATCTAGTCTAGATCTGGAATCTAGAATTTTCTAGATCTAGTCTAGAGATCTAGATCTAGTATTATACCGATAATTCGTATTTTGGGATAAAATATTGGACTTGTAAAAGCGCATAAGATAGTAAATAAAACGTGACTTCAATTTAATATGTTTAAAAGTGCTATCTTTTTTAGCTAATGTATCTTGCTGAAACTACAGTCATAAGTAAATTTAAATTTAAAAACTTTATAGAATAATAAAATATTGTTTCAAAAACGCTTATAGCTACCTTTATGGTTTTTAAATAGAACAATTGCTATATTATAATTATTTATTTTTTTCTTTATTTGTAATTTTTAAATACTATTTGCTACAATTAAATTAGTTATATCCCTTGTCAATATTTATTTTTTAAAATGGGAAGTAACTAACAAAACCAAAATAATTTAACCTCTTTACTATTAGTTTAACACAAAACTAATTAAAATTAGTAACATTTATTTTTAAATTGATATTCTTCTTCTTCTTCGTTCTTAATTTTTAGTGTTGGGAGGGATCGGGCCTTATCTGCCAGAGGGTTTGAACTCGAGACTTTTTTTTCGAATTTATCAGCCATGAGCTTTGCCGACTCGACCATGCTTCCATCACAATTAAGGATTACGTGTCAACTGGTTATGCGCCATTGAGGCCATTGACTCCGATTTCAGCCTGCTTTTCTTTTTGGATTTGCTTCCATAGCCTTTGTCCAACCAAGAACAAACTACAAGGTTGTTTGATTTTGGAGTTGTCTCTCCTAGAAGAGTGGCTGTCCCCAGCTAACGAGCCTCATCTGCCCGACGGTTCGAACTCGAGACTTTTCGGTTTAGCAGCCATGAGCTTTACCGACTCGACTACGCCGACCCTTTAAATTGATATTGAAATGCAACAATTACAAACAAATAGGCCTTATATACATTGCTGATAAACTTCTCATATCTCCTATCTAATCCGCTGCTCCCAATCAGAGTTTCTTCCAGGCATCTCTTCGGGGGGGGGGGGGGGCCCGAAAAAAATTTACCGCCCCCCCCTCCCCCCGAACGAAATGAAATTTATATAATTTATATAGAAAATATATACTTTTAACAGTGTCCGCCCCCCCCCCCCCCCCCCGAAGAAAGTTTACCGCCCCCCCCCCCCCGAAAATTTCAAGTGCCCCCCCCCCCCCCCCCCCGGAGTAAAAAGTCTGGAAGAAACACTGCTCCCAATAATTTATGATTTGAGCCTAGCAAGTCTCTTACATTAAAAATATGGTTTCAGGCATGCGACCGCTGGTTTATTCTGAAAAAGATGCCCAGGAGAAACAAAAAGGATGGGTCAGGACTGGCCATCACATCAGGTAAGAAAACATGTGTATAACCAATAACATTTGCAATGGTTAATTCTATTAAATTAACATAAATATATTAAACAAGGAACATAGTCACAATATTGGTGTCGAGTTTAATTCATTGAGCTCTTTGTGTTGCATTAATTTCAATTTCTTCAACTTAATCAGTGTCTTTCTGCTATGTCTATGTTGATGTGCTCATGTGTTAGCAGTGTTTCTTTCAGGCAATTCTCTCCCCCCCCCCCCCCTCCCCCCCACTCCGCACAGAATAAGAAATATAATTTATTCTTTTATAATGTACACTTTTATCAATGTCGCTCAGTTCACTATGTCCATTTCTTCAACTATATGTCTATCAAGGATCATTTCTTCAACTATATCCATCAAGGATCATTTCTTCAACTATATCCATCAAGGATTATTTCTTCAACTATATCCATCAATGTCCATTTCTTCAACAATCTTCATTAATTATCATATCTTCAACTATGTCCATTAATGATCATTTCTTCAACTATGTCCATTAATGATCAATTCTTCAACTTTCCATCAATGTCCATATCTTCAACTATCTTCAACAATGTCCATTAATGTCCATTTCTTCAACAATGTCCATTAATGTCCATTTCTTCAACTATGTCCATCTGTTCAACTATATCCACCAAGGATCATTTCTTCAACACTGTCCATCAATATCCACATGTTTCCCATGATAACCACAGCCTGACTGATCAACTTTCTCTTCCAGCTATTCCAGAAATGTGACCAACCACAGTTGCCCCCTCTTACAGAGAGGAGTTACATACTTCATGCTGGAGTGGCAGATGGTACAATTTTTTCACTCCATAACTTGGACTGGTTTAAATTCAGGAATATAGTTATAAACTTTATAACTTGGACTGGTTTAAATTAAGGAATATATTTATAAACTTTATAACTTGGACTTGCTTAAATTAAGGAATATAATTATTACCTTTATAACTTGGACTTGCTTAAATTAAGGATTATATTTATAAACTTCATGGTTTTGTATATTTTAAATTTAAAAAATATATTTTAAACATAAAGTCAAAATTTCTAGTCATATTAAATTCTGAAATATATCTTTAAATCATTATAAATAACAACATAACAATTTTAAGCTCAACTTAATTTTTCAATCAATTCTTAAATTTATATTGAACTTAAACTCAGAACATTCTAAATGCAGAAATGAAACAAAAAATAAAAGGAAATAATAGGCAGTTTACGCAGTCTAACCAAAATGATAATCCGCTTACAGGCCTAATAATAATTCATAATTATATGTAAATCTGAACACAATTTACTATCCATGCCAGGAGTTCCCTAACGCTGATGACACATACTATCTGGCACATTGCTACCCCTACTCATTCACTGACCTGAAGGAGGACCTAGAGGTTCTACTCAACAGTGAGGAGAGGTCTGCGGTGATGAAGAGGGAGGTCTTGTGTGAGTCTCGGGCAGGAAACAGCTGCTTTCTACTCACTGTTACTAATTTTAGTAAGTTCACATGAGTATCTATGGGGTCATCCATAAATGACGTCACAATCACAGGGGTCCGTAATTTTGTGACGGTGTGTGACGAAGGGAGGGGGGTGGGGTCAGATGGTGCGACGTCACACTTTTGCATTATAAAAAAGCAATGTTAGAAAACGAATTTTAGACTTTATTTCGCGTTTTAGAATACAGTTTTAATAAACTGCAATAGGAATTGATTGAAATACTCTATTTTGACAGAGTTCAGACAAGATTTTGGAAAAATATTGATGTTTTGAGAAAAATTCAATTGCAATTTTGAGGGGGTTATAGGCTGAGGTGTGACGTCATTTTCGGGGGGGGGGTCTGGTTTTTTGTGACGATGTGTGACGGAGGGGAGGGGGAGGTAAAAATCATCAAAAAAAGCGTGACGTCATTTATGGATGACCCCTATTGACTTACTGTGTAGCTTATCTGACTTAGTCATCATGCAGCTTAGTTCACATTAAATTTTTAAAATTTTCTGATGGAGCAATTTTCAAAATTTCTGGACTTACACCAATGAGAGTTTATGGACAGTACCCTTCTAGTCCCACTTCCCCCAACACCAAAATAATGTAAATAATGTATTGCTTTCCACGCCCTCCCCCCCCCCCCCCCCCCGTGGATTAACTTAAAGAAAGATTTATGCAAAACTATATTTTCATCAGCTGGTTTACTTGCATAAAGTTGGTTTCTTAAATGACTCATTATCAATTTGTTTACATACCCTACCTACTACTCAACTTCAGTAATGGTTGCTTTAATTGATTATCATTTTGTTCACTTACGCTATTCAATATTAAAATAGATTTGTTAGCAAATATTACATTTGAGATTTTAAAAATTTCATTCCAACCTAAGGCATTTTTTGTAAAGGGCTAGTTGTTTTTTTGGCAGATTGTATTTTATTTTTAGGACTAGTGAATTCCTTAAAATATACATGATGTGCCACTCTCTAGATTTGGAGGAAGAAAAGAAAGCCGTGGTTATCTCAGCTAGAGTCCATCCAGGGGAGAGCCAAGCCAGCTGGATGATGAAAGGACTTATAGAGTTCATCTCTGGACCTGACCCTGTGGCTAAGGTAAAAATTCTGACCTTAACTCAGGTAAAAGTTTACCTTTGTCTTTGTTGGAAGTATACTTTCATCTTAGGTAAAAGTTTACCTTTGTCTTTGGTGAAAGTATACTTTCATCTTAGGTAAAAGTATACCTTTGTCTTTGATGAAAGTATACTTTCATCTTAGGTAAAAGTATACCTTTGTCTTTGGTGAAAGTATACTTTCATCTTAGGTAAAAGTATATCTTTGTCTTTGGTGAAAGTATACTTTCATCTCAGGTAAAAAGTAAATCTTTGTCTTTGGTGAAAGTATACTTTCATCTCAGGTAAAAAGTATACCTTTGTCTTTGGTGAAAGTATACTTTCATCTAAGGTAAAAGTATACCTTTGTCTTTGGTGAAAGTAAACTTTCATCTCAGGTAAAAGTATATCTTTGTCTTTGGTGAAAGTATACTTTCATCTCAGGTAAAAGTATATCTTTGTCTTTGGTGAAAGTATACTTTCATCTCAGGTAAAAGTATACCTTTGTCTTTGGTGAAAGTATACTTCCATCTTAGGTAAAAGTATATCTTTGTCTTTGGTGAAAGTATACTTTCATCTCAGGTAAAAGTATATCTTTGTCTTTGGTGAAAGTATACTTTCATCTCAGGTAAAAGTATATCTTTGTCTTTGGTGAAAGTATACTTTCATCTCAGGTTAAAATGTACCTTTGTCTTTGGTGAAAGTATACTTTCATCTCAGGTAAAAGAATACCTTTGTCTTTGTTGAAAGTATACTTACTTCTCAGGTAAAAGTATACCTTTGTCTTTGGTGAAAGTATACTTTCATCTCAGGTTAAAGTATACCTTTGTCTTTGGTGAAAGTATACTTTCATCTCAGGTGAAAGTGTACCTTTGTCTTTGGTGAAAGTATACTTTCATCTCAGGTAAAAGAATACCTTTGTCTTTGTTGAAAGTATACTTTCATCTCAGGTTAAAGTATACCTTTGTCTTTGGTGAAAGTATGCTTTCATCTTAGGTAAAAGTATACCTTTGTCTTTGGTTTAAGTATACTTTCATCTCAGGTAAAAGTATATCTTTGTCTTTGGTGAAAGTATACTTTCATCTCAGGTAAAAGTATATCTTTGTCTTTGGTGAAAGTATACTTTCATCTCAGGTAAAAGTATATCTTTGTCTTTGGTGAAAGTATACTTTGATCTCAGGTAAAAGTATATCTTTGTCTTTGGTGAAAGTATACTTTGATCTCAGGTAAAAGTATATCTTTGTCTTTGGTGAAAGTATACTTTCATCTCAGGTAAAAGTATATCTTTGTCTTTGGTGAAAGTATACTTTCATCTCAGGTAAAAGTATATCTTTGTCTTTGGTGAAAGTATACTTTCATCTCAGGTAAAAGTATATCTTTGTCTTCGGTGAAAGTATATTTTCATCTCAGGTAAATGTATATCTTTGTCTTTGGTGAAAGTATACTTTCATTACAGTTAAAAGTATATCTTTGTCTTTGGTGAAAGTATACTTTCATCTCAGTTAAAAGTATATCTTCCTCTCAGGTAAAACTAGGAAAAACCATCATCTTTAATAAAAGTATACCTCGTTTCATTTAAATGTGTACTTTCATCCCTGGTAAAATTATAATTTCACCTTATTATATGAGCTCTTGTTCAAAATAAGTTTTTACAAGTAACTGACAGTCACCTTTCCTGAAAAAACATGTTGAATCTACTTAAATTTTCATAACTGAATAAATTATCTTACTCTCATTTAAAATGTTAATAAAAGATCAAAGCAAATTAGTTTCAGGATCAAATATATACATATAATTTGATTTACTTATTTCAAGTTAATTTTTATATTTTAATCTCATCCATTTTATTTATCTAAACTTTTGCTCTGTACATTTTTATTTCCAGGAACTGAGAGATAAATTTATCTTTAAAATAATTCCCATGACAAACCCCGATGGGGTGATTGTAGGAAATTATCGTTGCTCGTTAGCCGCCAGAGACTTGAACAGAAATTACAGACACCCCAGACGGGAAAACTTTCCCACGGTCTGGCACTTGAAGAAACTGGTGGAGGAGCTGTCTAAGACTCATGAGGTGAGTTGTTTTACTTTATATCGTGTGAGTTGTCTGCCTTTATCAAATATTAGGTGAGTTGTCTGTCTTTACATGATGTTAGGTGAGCTGTGTGACTTTAAATGATGTTAGTTAAAATAATTGACAGCAGGTATGTGTATAGCTATATTTGTTACAAAGGTAAAGGTCACTGTTGATACTAAGTATGTGTCCACTAAGACTTATCTAATTGAATATATGTCATGTATTTACTTATGTTTTACAATGACTATTTTTAAACCACTAAATTAGTGGGGAAACAAGTAGTTAATAATTATTAGAAAAGTTTCAGTTAGTTATGTTATGGTTCCAGTATGTTACAATTACAATATTTTCTTATTAAAATCGGTTATTAAAATACAAACGCATGATGGCATACAATTTTTTTTTTATGAATTTTTTTTTTTTTTTTTTTTAAACATTTAAAAAAAAATGTTGAGGTATTACTTATTGTAACTAAAAAAAATGATGAGATATAGTTTATCTCCCTTTCAATAGCCATTTAACTACAAAATAAAATGCCACTGTTTACCTCCCTTTAGATTGCTCTGTACTGTGACCTACACGGACACAGTAGGAAACCCAATGTCTTCATGTATGGGAACAACACATCTGCTGATGGGGACAAGACAGCCATAGGAACAGCCAGGGCTTTCATAGCTGAGAGAATGTTCCCCTGGCTCATGTCTGTTAAGGTCAATTTAAACCTTAAGTTTGTGTGTGCCGTTGCAATATTAATTTCTTCTAACACAATGGCCCCGCCACTTTCAGGCCACACTTTGTCATACATAAAGCTTAACAAATTGAATTTTTTGAAACTCTACTGCATGTATAATTTTTTTTTATTGATAAACAAAGAAATAACCATCAATGCGGGTCTTACAGCCTGTTCCCAGAAAGAACCGCAACGGAAAAAAGCGCAACGGAAAAAAGCGCAAAACAAAAAGCGCAACGGAAAAAAGCGCACACGGAAAAAAGCGCAAAGAGAAGAAAGCGCACACAGAAAAAAGCGCAAAGAGAAAAAAGCGCAAACAGAAAAAGCGCACACAGAAAAAAGTGCAAACAGAAAAAAGTGCAAACGGAAAAAAGCGCAAAGAAAAAAAAGCGCACACGGAAAAAAAGCGCAAAGAGAAAAAAGCGCACACAGAAAAAAGCGCAAAGAGAAAAAAGCGCAAACAGAAAAAAGCGCAAACAGAAAAAAGCGCACACAGAAAAAAGCGCAAAGAGAAAAAAGCGCAAACGGAAAAAAGCGCAAAGGGAAAAAAAGCGCAAACGGAAAAGAACGCAAAGAGAAAAAAGCGCACACGGAAAAAAGCGCAAACGGAAAAAAGCGCAAACGGAAAAAAGCGCAAACAGAAAAAAGCGCAAAGAGAAAAAAGCGCAAACGGAAAAAAGCGCAAACGGAAAAAAGTGCAAACGGAAAAAAGCGCACACAGAAAAAAGCGCAAACGGAAAAAAACGCAAACTGAAAAAAGCGCAACGGAAAAAAGCGCAAAAAAAGAAAAAAAAACTCAAACAGAAAAAAGTACACACAGAAAAGTGTGCACACCGAAAAATGCACAAAGAGAAATTTTCGCACAAACACCTATAAGGACTAGATGACACATTTATATATGATTGTTAGGGCTGCTGTGAGAGTGTTGTGTTTGACCTGACGCGATATACTACCACTTAAAGCATACCACTAACATGTTCATTCACATCACCATGATACAGGTGATAATCGCTTGACACAACGTCTATTTTTTTCATGTTCACTATTTATTCAACGACTATTCTCGTATAAATAAACATAAAACTATCCTTGATATTGGCATTACACGGAGTATCTCGTACATGCTCCCTAGTCCCAAGCTTGCATTCTATAACAACCCGTTTCTATCGCAAAACTTCACTCTCTTTCTTCCGAGTCATCAAACATGCATTCGCTATATCTCTCGCACCAACATTCATTCGCACAAAAATACCCTGATAAAACACATATCATAATCATTATGTATTTAATATTATTTCATCATGATGTACCTATATCTACCTACGTACCTACGTACCTACCTACCTAGATACCTACCTACATACCTACCTACTTACCTACCCAATATATCAATATATATATATATATATATATATATATATATATATATATATATATATATATATATATATATATATATATATACATATATATATATATACATATATATATATATACATATATATATATATATATATATATATATATATATATATATATATATATATATATATATATATATATATATATATATATATATACACGGGTAGGTAGGTGGATTAGTTGGTGGGTTCGTGGGTAGGTAGATTTTTTGGTGGGTGTGTCGGAAGATGTGTGTGTAGGCAATTAGGTGGTTGGGTGTTTGTGTAGAAGAGAGTTTTATCCAGACATCAGTTCGGCCCGAAGAAAGTCTACCGTCTACTCCCCCCCCCCCCCCATTCCCCGAACGAAATGGAATTTATATTTTTAGATTATGCACATTTCCTACTGAGCCAATAGAGCACTACATCGAATAGTTAATCAGTTTAACAATGTAGACACCAGTGAAGTAGGTCCGAGTCAAAGCCTGATGTTAAAATAAAACTACATCTCTCTTTGTCCATTATGCTGTTCAATACATGCTTTGGTAATTAATGAAGCCTTGATTACAGTTCCTGTTATAACTGACAAAACATTTCTGACATTCCCTTTGTAATCACCTAACCAGTTCAGACAGTTCATGTCATAAATGATAAAACTGTCTTCTCAATCCATATCTTGCTCTGTTAAAATGTTTGTTAAATGATCTACAGACAACAGTCTACCCAGCTAACACAGTATGTAATACCAGGGTCGGCCCAACCTTGGCCCAATGTTGTAATCATGGCCAAACATTGGACAAGCTTACGCCAGGGTACAGCCAAGATTTGTACATGCTTGCATCCCTTGATACCTTGATATTTAACCGTTTTTACCTTGGCTGCCAAGATTACACTGATTTATGGATTCACTGCAGAAATTTTAGTTAAATATGCTTGTTAAACTTAATATATGTTAACTAAAATTAATTTATCTTTTAATATCATGCTCTAATGTAAACATAGCATCAATAACAGACTACGTTGCATGTGTTAAACATTTTGTTAATCTTTTTAAAATTGTGTGCGCTACTGCCACCGGCCCCCTGTCGCCCATTGTCCCTTTGTTCACATTCCTTCCTATTGTTCGCAAGCCAGCATCCCGGTCCTGCGCCATTTTTCTTAACAAAAGACTTTGTATCCAGTCACAGTAAAACAGGTAGGCCCACTGTAGCCATTTTAGTTCAACAGTGAGAAGTAGTATAACTGTATTTATGCAGAATCTGGAAAACTCGTATTTTTTTGTTGGAAACTTTAACTTTATGGGCCTAAGTCATCAAATAAAAGTTATAAAAGGTAGTTTATTTGAGGTAATAAAATGAGCCTAGATCTAGATCTAGTCTAGATCTATATATTAATAATACTAGAGTCTATATTCTGTTTATTTTGGCATTAGGCTATAATTACATTTTACAATAATCTCCTTTATGATAGATCTAGATAGATCTAGATTCTAATAATACTAAATAACTAAAAATCGTAATCAGAGGGCGGTTAATTTTGACAGCACTTTTTTTTTGTATTGAAAAGTATGCAAGTACGTTTGGGGTTAGATCTATATTGATTATTGATAGATCGATGTATTTATTGGTTTTCAACTTTAGGTATAATTATCACGCACAGGGAAAGGGGGGGGGGGGGGCTTAAATGTTTATAAATTAATAAATAATCATTCACTTTAACTTTTTAAAAAAACTTAATTTTATTGTTCTAGGCCTATTTGTGTAAGGATTTGAAACTGTCTTTAATAATTAATTCAGAGAGAGAGAGAGAGAGGAACAGTAGACACAATTATAGAACAAATTTCTACATGTTAAACAGTGTATTTTGATAGGTATTAATTTTGAAAAAAATTAGTCAACTAGAATTCTAAATTGATTCAAGATTGTCATTCAAATTTCTATTACTGTTACAGCTCCCTATGGGAGAATAAGATGTCATCATCATCACTCCTTTGTGGCCCCTGGGGAGCAAAGGGCTGCAACCACACATCTCCAACGGACTTGGTTTTGGGCTGCTCCTCTAATCTGTGCCCATGAGAGCCCAGCTGTTTTCGCCTCCTCCTCAACCGTTCTCTTCCATGTTTTCCTTGGCCGGCCCACCCCCCTTTTTCCCTGGGGATTCCAGTCTAATGCATGTTTTGATGAATAACATGTAAGTTGTGTAAATAGTAGTGTGGAGACCTCAGAGCAACACTTAATTTCATGACCAACAGCGATAAGATGGTACTATTAGTAAGCCATACTTAATGATCAACACTACTCATATTATCATATAGAGGACAGAGTAGGCAAATGGTTGAGGACACTATTGCTAAACATAAAGCCAAGTTAGTAGTACATTCATCAGTTCACCTAAGTCTGATATATACCCAATTTAAGACTATGAAATAAAAAAGGTGGCTAGATATAGTGTTGACTACACAATCCTTTATATACAGAGATCAAATAAACAGAGATACTTAAAAATTAGTATCTAATCTGGCTATCATTTATTGTATCACTCACTCATTTTATTATTATATTTAATAACTAAGAATGCCATTTATTTTCAGGCCTCCAGGTGTTGTGTATATCAATCAGCCCACTGGAGATATATCAATCTTTAATAAATTATAAGGTCCCCACTGCTTGATACTTCACCAAATACTGGCTACACCAGAAAATGACTAAATGTTCTTAACACTTAACAACTGTAAGTTTACATTGTTTCAAAGTGAATAATAATTTTCATTTAGTAATTTTTGCTTACATGTAATGATCAGCATGTGTAGTTAATGCCTTTACTGATATTAGTAAAATAATTTCAGACCACAAGCATTACTTCTGGGTCACTCTGAAGGGTCTAATCGTTCAATTACTGAATTAATAAAGTTGATGAAATTGCTCAAAAATTGTCTGGCACCTTCTTAACTCAGAGACATAGGGTAAGGGGTTTATAATATTTATATACATACTATTATTTTTTTTATTACCAGGTCTTTTTTTTCACTTTTGTTTATATATATATATATATATATATATATATATATATATATATATATATATATATATATATATATATATATATATATATATATATATATATATATATGCAGTATAAGTGTTACCTGGGTAGCATGAACACCCCAGACCACCAGTCTTTATACCTATATAATATATCGTTACAAGGTAGCAAACATGATGTTAGGGGCTTCTTGTTGTATGTTCAGTGCAGTGCAAAATAAAATAAACATAATAAATTTAGTGCAAAATGAGCAGTGTATGGTTGTAATTATTTCATAAATGACTTTTAGTGTGTAACTTTTCTTTTTTAGAATGTGGATGGATTATGACATACCTTGCACAAATCAACAACCAGGCTTTTATTGGATTTGAATCCCAAAGGAAAGAGAAAGTTTGTTATCCAAAACAAACATGGAAAATATCAGAAACCAACAAAACACAAGCAGGCAGAGTGTTATGGACACAACTTTGGGGAATCTCCTAAAACCAAGTATAAAAATAGAGAGGTGTGGTTGTGTCTCTCAGCTCCACAAGGGTCCACAAGAATGAGGACAACAGTGATTTTCGTAATAATTTTAGATCAGATTTAAAAAAAAAAATTTGATCAGATGGATCAGGTTAACAGTTTAATACATATTGCATTTAAGTGCTTAACGAAAAGAAAAGATGCTCTTACCAAAATAGTCTAAGAACAATGCTGATTTTAAATTAATAAATTGTTTCCTTTTGTAATAATATAATAATTTAAGTTGGCATTGTATGTATGTTTAGTGTAGATTTAATGCCCTAAATGAAATATACAATTGACATTTTTTTCTTTAAAGAATTAGTTGCAAATTTCTTTCATTATTTAGTTTCACTGTACAATCTGAAAAAAGCTTGCAACATTTGTATTGACCATACTTCTGCTGGTGATATTTATTTCTAATTAATGAAGTAAATTAATATATATTCAGTTTACTATAATTAAATACCTCATACTCGAGACAAAAAAACATTTATTGAATATCGCAGTGATATTCCTGTTCTACACAATGCGTATAAACCCTCGAACCATCTGTCTTTTGAAAGATTGTACATTTTGTATACACAATGGCATTCATTTCAAAACTATTTAACCACAATTATAATCTAGATATCCTGAACATATTTTCGTTCTGTTATTTATGGACAAGGCAGACTGGTCCAGCATTAAAATGTAAACCTTAATTAGAATACTTAAACGAGCTATGCAATTAAATGTTGTTAGACAAATATTTTATACTTTTTATTTTTAATGTTATGTTTACGTATCATAGTACAAGACAGCTTCTGTATTCTTGTACAGTAAATTAAGTTTTTACATTAGTTTAATTTAAACTGTAGGCCTGCTTAACATCTGTTACATTATATGAAAATGTTTTGTATATTTGTTTTAATTTGTTTGTATAAAAGTCAAAATGAAAGTTACTACACTATTATTTACATATTCTTTTTCAATCAATACTTTATAGTATAGTTATAATTTTCTTACAATTGAATGGATGGTATAATACAGATTTTAATAGATGAGCAGTTCTTGTGTATGTATTGCTGCTTTACTACATTTTGATTAAAATTTCTTTCACATTTTGAAATTACCTTTGTAAATATTATGACTGATATGAGAATGGATCTTTTTGTATGCTAAAAATAAAAATTTGAGCCAAGATGTAGCCAGGATATAATACAGGCTGAGCCAAGGTATAGCCGAGATATAGCCATTATTGGGCCAAGATGTAGCCAGGATATAATACAGGATGAGCCAAGGTATAGCCAATATTGGGCCAAGATATAGCCATTATTGAGCCAAGATGTAGCCAATATTGGGCCAAGATGTAACCATGATATAGACAATATTGGGCCAAGATATAGCCAATATTGAGCCAAGATGTAGCCAATATTGGGCCAATATGTAGCCGGGATATAGCCAATGTTGGGCCAATATGTAGCCGGGATATAGCCAATATTTGGCCAAGATCTAGCCAATGTTGGGCCAATATGTAGCCGGGATATAGCCAATATTGTGCCAACATTGCGCCAACATCATGCCGAGTTTCACTACCAATGTTTCGCCAAGGTTAAGCCAATGTTGCACCAAGATGTAGCCAATATTGGTAACCAATGTTTAGCCAATATTGGGCCAATATATGTGTGCTGACTGGGTATTTGGTGTTGCAACATGTGTTAATATATGGGGTCATCCATAAAGGATACCCTGCTCCTAAGGGGAGAGGTGTTGTAATGTTTTGTTATGTGATGGGGGGGGGGGAGGTCAGATAGTGTATGTCACGCTTGTGTATTTACAAAAAGTAATGTTAGAAACTTAATTTCAGCCATTTTATTGCAGTTTAGAAAACTTTTTTGTAACGTGTAATATAAATTAATTAATATACCATATGCTGACCTAGCTCAGACAATTTTTGAGAAAAAACTTGATTTTTTACAAAAACTTAATAACAGCAGTTTTGAGCAGTGTTGTAGGCTAAAAAGAAGTGATGTCATTTTAGAAGTGGGGTCTAGAAGAGATAAAAAATAATTGATAAAAAGCATGGTCCTTTAAGTATGACACCTATGGTGAAATATTACCCAGAGACCGGAAAATTTCCATTTGTTCTGGCAACTATTTGGGTCTTCTTTGCCCAGAGCCAAGAAAAAAACTCATTTGTTTATGGCAAATATGTAGGTATAGGCCTACTCTACCAAGAGCCCAGAAAAAACTTCTATTTGTTCTGGCAATCGGTTTAAAATATCTGTATTTTTACAAGCTTTTATGTAACTGACAGATCCGGTTCAACGTTGACACGTGGGTCAAGACATAAAGACAATGCAATCTGACATTACATTAGATTTAATTGGATGCCTAATTATTCTGTATACTGACCCACAGAGCCCAGAAAAATTCCATTTCACATCCTGCAAGTTCAGCATCAGGAAGTGTAAGGAGTCGACTGGTCGAGTGGTTATGTGGAGGCAGATGAAAATCTTTAACAGTTTTACCTTAGAGGCAACCTTCAGTGGAACACACATAGACAGGTAAATCTATGCATACATAGACAGGTAAATCTATGCATACATAGACAGGTAAATCTATGCACACATAGACAGGTAAATCTATGCATACATAGACAGGTAAATATATGCATACATAGACAGGTAAATCTATGCATACATAGACAGGTAAATCTATGCATACCTAGACAGGTAAATCTATGCATATAAAAACAGGTATATTTATGCGTACATAGACAGGTAAATCTATGGATAGAAAGGTAAATCAATGATGAAAAACATCAAATTACAATATAGATCTAGGACTTGACTCTCAATATAGAAGTTGATAATGTTGGACTTCACTGTAAAAACTTTTTGACTTGACTGTCAATATGGAAGTTGATAATTGTGGACTGGGCTGTTAATAGGGCAGTTGCGGTAGCTTACATGTGTACCTTTAAAACTTGGCATACAAGATATTTGGACTAGCAGTTGTGCACACTATTCTCTAACCACATTGTCCCAGTAATATACTATTTGGAAGATTATTCACATTTGTTTCAATCACTGTCTTTGAGTAAAATGCATGACTAACAGTGACTGTTAATAACACAGCATAAAGCGAAACAAAACAAAAAATCAACTACAAGTATCTAAATGCTGTTGTTGTTGTTTTTAACCTATAATGTATTATCAAGCCTAGATTACTGGTCAAAACAAGAACAGTAATATCTTTTTTTTTTTAAATCCTCACCATGCACAAATACTATAACACTAAAAAAAAATATCAAAACAGCAAGTGTTTTAAATAGGTTTCTGTTTATTTTTGAGTGTTGTTACTTGAATTTTAAACACCTTTTGTTTAACTAAAAAAATAAAAATATAACTGAAATTTAGCAGATTGAATTAAAAAGATCATAAACAGATCTTTTTTTTTTCTTTTTTTTAAACTTTGTCTAAACAAACTTCATTGAAATAGCTGTTAATGTATTCAGGTCGAATGGTCGCCATTTTAACATCCTGGACTTCATGGAGATGGGGAAAGTTTTGGCTGAGGTTGTCTTGGATTATCAGAAAGTCCAGGAAAATAAAGAGTAAGTAGGAGAGAGGGGGGTTAACTGTTTCATTACAAGATATGAGAAGGGGACTCTTATTACAAGTTAAGGAAAGTATTGGTGGTTGGCTGGCTTACTTCAAACCTGAAAGTCGATGGGGTGGGTGAAGTAGAGTTCACCTGTTTCAGTGATGTAGGCATATCAAGGGATACTCAAGTCAGCATTATACACAGCAGCCTTTACTTTCCCTAACAATTGTCAGGTACCCATTTCTGGTGGACTCTGTAATGTTCTACTTAGTTAACAGAAGATATCTATGTTCTATATCTAATTGCACCGTCCTGTACTTCACGAGCTTAATTGACTCTACTATTATATATATATAAACTATGGGAAGGAGAATAACTGTCTTATTAAAAGCTTAAGGAAAGTGGGATGACAAACGGCAAACTGCTTATTACAAGAAAACGAGTTGGAATAGCTAACGATAGTGCGATGATGCATTTTTAATTGTGATAATCTTTAATATAACACTCGGCAATAGCACTATCTTATTGTAGTATTTTTAAAACTCCATCATTTACATGTGTGTTCTCTACTGGTCTCATCTTTGCAGGCTGCACACAGCTACAGTGAGAGACTTGACCAGGGTAGTCACTAGACAAATCCTGGCATCTAAAGGTCTCATTGAGCCAGAAACTTCTTCAACAGATCAAGTCAAAGGTTTGTTTTACATGTTTGTTACTAATTATTTACTACTTTGAATATAAGCTGAAAAGGAAACTTCAAAATCAATTAAAAAATTGAAAATGTTAGGCATTTCCTTTCTAAAACTAAAAGATCCAGATATAGGCCTATCTATATTCATATGCATAAATATGACTATTTAAATATTAAACTATGAACGTATCAGAGTTTTTAAAAAGTGTTGATAAGTTAATTAGTTTCATTAGGCCTACAATTTACAAAACTGCAATAAACTCATTTTATGTGTTACAGTACAGTTTTAGATTTATAAAAGTTTTTAAAATTTAAACATTAAATTTTTTTAACAAAAATTGTTTTAAAATATACACCAAAAAATAGACTGTGATTTTAAAATTAATGTGTGACTACATTTTTGTGAAATATTTTTTTAAACAATTCAGAAGAAGAGCGTTTGCTGGGTCAAGCAGGAGAGTCCACAGAAAAATGGTCCAGTGCCCTGCTGTCTCTGCTCAACACACCCCGGGACACTGGGGACAGCGGCTCAAATCTGACCGGCGAGGGCAAGCAGACGGAGCAGCTGTACACCAAAGATGACGTCATGCACATGATGGACATGATGTCTGGGGGTCAGAGCATCGATGACTGTCTGGGTTTTCTGGCACAGCTGGATGTTACAGACGCCATTCAGGAGTCTGAGTATGTGTGGTTAGATTGATGTGTTTAGTAGATGTAGCCTGTAGTAATGCTTGGTTGTGAGACACTAACGGAAGTTATACAGAGACTTGTGTCTGTCAGGAGTCTAAGTATGCAGTTACATTGGTGGCTTTAATTGGTTGTATAGCAATTCTAATCTTAACCCTAGAGTTCTATTGGGCAGATGAAGTAGAGTTCATATGTGTTTGACCTCAGCATATGAAGGTAAGGTGTGGTCAGCACTTTTCCCACCAACTTTACTTTCCCTAACATGAAGTGGGTGTACTCAGGGATTTTCTACTGACTTGGACCCAGATTGGAACTCAAGACCTTTTGATTAGCAGCCTAGCGCTCTTCCACTTAGGCTAACCCATCACATTAAGTCATATAGAGGCTGATGTTATTCAGCAGTTAAACTGGTGTATTTAACTAGTTGTGTTGCCATTCTTTCTGTTTATCATGTTTCTCCTAGACAAAAAAAAATAAAAAAATAAAATTTATTTAGAATTTAGAATTATTTTATTTTTAGCATAATAATACTTGTTAACTTTAATTTATCAATCACTTCAGCATTCGCCATCAAGTTTTTATTTTAAATTGTTTTGCTTCCATAAGAAGTCAAACATAATGATATAAAGCTTCAGTTAACAAAATTTAATGCAAAGGTGTAAGGACGTACCCTTCTGAACATTCCATTTTTCCCCTTTGTCCCACATTGACATCAAAATCACCCCTATCACCAATAATTTTTACATCATTTTTGGACCACTCTTAAAAGTATATATTTTCTTTATAAATTATATAAATTTAATTTCGTTCGGGGAGGCGGTAAAATTTTTTCGGGGGGTGGGCGCAAAGCCCCCCCCCCCCCCAAAGAGATGCCTGGAAGAAACTCTGTATGTAAATAAAATAAACTTGTGTTAGCCTATAGTTACAAAGAAGTAAAATTTTTCATCCATCCTGTCATTGACAGTTCAAGTGACAGTGACAGCGAGTCTGACGCAGAGATGAAACCCCCTGACCCCAAGCCTAGGAAAAAGAAGAAAAGAACAAAAAAGCAGAGGGACAAAGAGCTTCTGAGGAATGGCATCACAGTTTCAGAGAAGAAAACTTCTGAAGAGAGCAAGGGCAAGTCACTCTCTGTAAGTTATTTTTTTCTTGTCACAATCCCTGTGTGTTTGAAATTTAAACATTGCACAGCAGCCGACACTTTTTCTTCCAGGTATCTCTACCTTAGCACATCCAACGTCCCAATGACTAAATATAAAAAAATATAGAATTTATATAGAGAAAATATATTTTTGTCAGTGTCCAATATCCACCATCCCCTGGAGATTATAAGACTGCCTCCCACTCTACCTGAAAGTTACAAATACCCTCTTCTCCCCAAACAAAAAAGTCTCAAAGAAACACTTCTTTAGTCATACTACTTTAGTCATACTACTTTAGTCATACTACTTTAGTCATATTACTTTAGTCATATTACTTTAGTCATACTACTTTAGTCATACTACTTTAGTCATACTACTTTAGTCATATTACTTTAGTCATACTACTTTAGTCACACTACTTTAGTCACGCTACTTTAGTCACACTACTTTAGTCATACTACTTTAGTCATACTACTTTAGTCACACTACTTTAGCCATACTACTTTAGTCATACTACTTTAGTCACACTACTTTAGTCATACTACTTTAGTCATACTACTTTAGTCATACTACTTTGTAGAAACTATCCTGACTCAAGCATTAGGCACATTGCCAACTGTGTTGTGGATTTGTAAATGCAACATTTTCTGAACCTTATCTAACTGCAATTTACTTAAAAACTTAAAACTGTTTGGCTCCTTCCCAGTACCCCACTCTCATCAGCACATTCCATCATGCAAAACCTGCTCATTCACTTCAGATTTGTTTTACACTTATTGACTTTTGAATTACATTTTTTGCAACTGATTGTAGGGAGTTTAAGATTTTACTGTCAAAGGATTAATTTAAATTAAAATAATTGCTACTGCCTTCTTAAAACTACACAAACACAAGTTAAATAACAAATTTTAAATATCTACTAATTAAGTTTATCTTCACTGCTAGCTGTTTTTATTTAAACTCAAAACAAATAATATGTGAATTTTAAAAATAGTGAATTATTCAAAACATATTAACATGTCCCATATTTATTGTAAATAGGAAAAGTTGATTTTCATTTTTGTATTTTCACATTAGAATTTGTTATTTATTAATAATTAATTTTGGAATGCAATTACAGATTGATTCCCTTGCTGTAATAAAATTCATACATGGGACGTAATTATATTAATAAAAGATTTTTTTCAGTGGTAGCATCAGTAGTCACAATGGTCTTTTTTTTTTAAAGTTGCTGTTAATAACAATCATATAAAAATTTAAAAAAGAAAAATATTATAAACTTAGTAACCAACTCAAGTACATTTCAACATGATACTGTTCTAACCGTATTTTAACATTGTAATATGCTAAAAAATTACCTTATTAAACAATGATGTAATAAATTGAATTAATTAAAAATTGAATAATATGTAGGGCTTTGTTTAGATTGTAATTATAAAATAATTGATGCATTTGTTTGTCTTCACAAAACTGACTAAAATGTAACTTAAATGTTTCTTTCTGTGAGAGAAGATTCTTATTTGTTTTTACTACAATGAAAGCACTTTTAAAAAAAAAATATAAACCTGATGTTACTGATATAATAACTAGTGCACCATTTTATTTTAAATGTTATAAATTTCATGCCTGAATTTTGAAAATTGACAAATGTATCAAAATTTTGATACTTCATTTGATTTTTATATTAAGCCAGTTTTACAGGGTGTATAGAGCATCCTTTAAAAGTGAAAAACTTTATATCCAACATAGCTGTTATGGATTTAGAAAACAATTGTGGGGAGATCCTATATTTGTAGATAATGTCTGCCTCCTATTTTACAAACAACAATATGCTCAAGCAAAAGTGATATGACTATCTGATGAAGCCTTTAAAGTAGGACTTAAAATCAACAGGAGTAAAGCAGAGGTCATTACAATCTATAACAACCAGGACCTGCCCGTACAGCTAAATGGAGAAATACAATAATCAAATTAACATATCTGGGAATTGCTGTAAACACAGATAAAGGGGAGGAGATGAAGATGATGTGGGATGATGTGGCCTAGTGGTAGAGCGCTAGACTTCTAACTCAAAAGTCTCAAGTTTGAATCAGGGTCCAAGTCAGTAGAATGTCCCTGAGTCCACCCAGCACTGATAAATACAAAACTCAAGTTAGGGAAAGTAAAGGCAGCTGGACATAGTGCTGACTACACTGTCCCTTTATATGCCGAGGTCACAGATGAAATCTATTTCACTTGCCCCATAGACCATCAAGAAAGGAACTTTTTATCAATAAGACCTGATTTCACCTGAAATGTAATTTCATCATTCTATCCCTCAAGAGCTAGAGAAGAATCCAACATGCAAATGTGAAGGCAGTACTTAAGTATGGCTAAGATTACTGGAGAGTCACTAAATCAAACACCAGGCTAAAGTCCTACACAAAAAATACCTACAAAGCTTTCATAAAATAAAATAACCCAAAAATATATTAGACAGTATAAGAGACCAGCCTTTAGATGAAGATATCAAAAAACCTTAACTGGGGATGGATCAGACATCATGAGACATGCAGTGAAGAGAAGAAAATATCACTAAGTGTTAGAATGGAATCCCCATGGGAAAAAATGTCCAGACTTGGAAATCTGTCTTGGAAACTAGTTTTAAAATATGCTGTAAATGAAGATGCAAAATGCATCTGTTTGACTTGTGTTGGTTGTTTATAAAGTAGCCTTCTCTTGTATTTAGATTTCACTACTAATTCCCTCCTTCCTAGAATTAAACAACTGATAGCACAAGACAGTCATGTCTGTAGTCACTGTTTTACAACAATTGTCTCGCTGAAAATTTAAAAACATAAAGAAAAACATTGCAATCAAATAAGGTTGTTAGCCTGCATTATGAATAACTTTGTGTCATTTTAGCAACATTATGTGAAATCAAAAAAGGTAAAAAAAAATAATTGAAATTTTTGGCGTGGAAGTGTAGTGTTTGGTATTAACCAGTGTGTAGTGACTGCTCACTTTCAATATCCAGGCTTTGCCACTTCTAACCCCTGTCACACGGCATGCTGGGAGCAGCGCTGCTCCTGACAGCACAGACCATCATGTGGTACAGCTCCCACAGCAGGTAATACACCGCTTACACAGCTTTACATACCATAGGTTACACACAGCAGGTACCATACAGCCTCCTTAACTTAACACACAGAAGGTAACACACAGCAGATAACACACAGCAGGTAACACACAGAAGGTAACACAGCAGGTAACACACACAAGGTAACACACAGCTTATGCAACTTAACACAAAACAGGAAACATGCATCTTCCTGAACTTAACACACAGAAGGTAACACACAGAGAGTGACACTTAGCTTCTCAACACAACACACAGAAGGTAACACTGCTGGTAACACACATCTTCAAGTTCACATCTTTATTGAGAATGAAAGACAAAACAGGATTGAAAACATACCAACTGTAATATACATTTAGTTTTATTTAGGGAACACGGAAGTAAATTTAGATTTCATTGATCATGTCATCATGGAACAAATTGTCTTTTATCTTGTTAGTTTAAATTATAATGATATATTAAATTGTATTGAAAATTTCTCAGGCAAACATCTCATCAGAGAAACCAAAAGGTCGACAGTTCAGTGGTTTTATCAGCAAGTATGAAGGCCGTCACAATGGTGGGATGCCATGTTTTACTGAGGAGAGGTCTCTGGAGAGGGCAGCAAAGGTATTTATAAGGGCAGTATATATTTCTTAAAGGGCAGCTAAGGTATTTTAAGGGCAGTGTATATTTTTTAAAGGGCAGCAAAGGTATTTATAAGGGCAGTGTATATTTTTTAAAGTTAAAGGGCAGCAAAGGTATTTATAAGATCAGTGTATATTTCTTAAAGTCAGCAAAGGTATTTGTAAGGGCAGTGTATATTTCTTAAAGGGCAGCAAAGGTATTTATAAGGGCAGTGTATATTTTTGAAACGGCAGCAAAGGTATTTATAAGGGCAGTATATATTTCTTGAACTTAAAGGGCAGCAAAGGTATTTATAAGGGCAGTGTATATTTCTTAAAGGGCAATTGATTTCATTTTAAAAGGCAGCTATTTTTTAAAAGACAGCGAAAGCGAAGGTATTTTAAGGGCAGTGTATATTTTTTGAAGGGCTGCTAAGATATTTTAAGTGCAGCAGGTATTTTTAAGGGCCACTAAATTATTTTAAAAAGCAGTGAATGTAGTTTTAGTACAGTTCATGTATTTCTTAGGACAACAAAGGTATTTTTAGAGGGTAGGTGATTTGTAATTAAAATGTAATTAAAATACTCATTATTTTATGTATGGAAACAGTTATGATTGAGATGTTTTTGACAAGTGAAATAATAAGTTTGACAGCATGTAATGCCATGTTCTAAAACTATAATATGATGTTGTTTTGACACAATGCTTTGAGATATATTTTGTGATGATTTAGTTTGTTACATCATTGTAATCATTGCTAATTAATTCAATTTTTTTTCGTTAGAAAATTGCGGAAAACAGAAAAAAGCTAGAAGATGGGGATAAAGACGTTTCAGTATTGGTGAGTCATAGTGTGGTTGTTGCCAGGGTGATTGTTTTGAATGCTTGTTTAACTATGACTACTGGGATGCATGGTTGGATGGTAAACTTGAGTCCATAGGTTGTCCCTGAATCTACCCAGCTGGGTACATGGCTCATGCTAGGGGAGGTAAAGGTGGCTGGGCAGAGAACTGACCACACTATTCCCTCATAAAAAGGTAAACTGCTTTATACTTCATCAGCCTTATGAGCCACCAGGTCCATAAAGGTAACTGAACTGTTTGATGCCATTACGATTGTGTTCAAATATTCTTTTTACTGTGTTTGATGGATGAATGCCTATTCCATTCTTGGACTGTTGGCACTGAACTGTTTGAAGCCATTATGATTGTGTTCAAATATATATTTTGCCTTATTTGATGGATGAATATCTTTTCCATTCTTGGACTGTTGGGGCTCCCACAGAGCCAACTTAGCCAGTGTTTCTTCCAGACTTTTTTCTCCGGGGGGGGGGGGGCATTTGAAATCTTCGGGGGGGCGGTAAACTTTCTTCGGGGGGGCGGACCCTGTTAAAAGTATATATTTTCTATATAAATTATATAAATTCCATTTCGTTCGGGGGGCGGTAAAATTTTTTCGGGGGGCCGAAGAGATGCCTGGAAGAAACTCTGAACTCAGCTAGTTGTAGTACCTGCTTGTTGTTCACTCCCTACATTTTATTTATAATTACTGTTAGAGATTAGTAAAAAAAATTAATCCAAAATATATACCTGTTGTAATGTTTAATGTATGTAGGTGTGTATTTAAAAACATTGTCTGTTAAACAGTACGTTGATGAACAGGGTCTTCAAACAATCTTTGAAGAAAATTTAAACCAGCAGCTCAGCAGACTTAACTATGGCAGACCAAACAGCTCAACTTCTGGGTTTAATTTCAGGGTGGGCTACACACATGCAGGTAAATCTTAGATGATATTATAAATAATCATTTATTAAATTATTTTTTTAAATATTTCGTTAAAACAAGGTTGATAATCTCTGTAGAAAATAATTTAAGATAAAAGAAAAAAGGTTTGTGTGGTCTAGTCGTAGAGCACTCAACTACCAACCCAAAACTCTTTGTGTTTGTATCTTGGTTGGATTTGAGTCTGTAAGATGTCCCTTGAGTTCACCCAGCTCCAATGCGTATTTAACTCACATCGGGTAAAGTTAACAGTTGAACCTAGTGCTGATCACATCACCCCTTCACATGCCGAGGCCAAGAAACACATTAACTCTTCTTCACCTACCCTAAGTATCATTAGCTCTGTTAGGGGAACTTTGCTTATCTACAGGAAAGTTTGTATCATTGTGTTTAAGTTTGTAAGATGTTTTTGTCTAAACAGCCAACTACATGCAAACAAAATACCCAACCTTTTGTAAGTATTTACTTAACCAGCGTTTGAGAAAAAAAACAAATTGCTATTAACTTTTAAAGTGACAAATTACACTTGTGTTTAATTAACACTACTACTAGATGTTTGCCAGCTTATCTTCATACATTAACAAAATTCTTCTGTGCAGGATTGGTTTGTTGTTAGAATTAATTTATTAAAGTACATTATTTGCCAATACAAATGTCTAAACTGTATTCCAAGCGCAATGTGGACAAGTAAAACAATATTACTAATATTACACACTCTCTACTTTGTCTTGACTCCCTTAGTCTTACTATTTTATTAAGGCTTAATAGTTATCACTTTGAGTAAATTATTTTTAGAGCCATTCTCTAACAGAACTTTTGAAAAAAGTTTTTTGTATCATGAACTCCACAATTCTGTCCTACTATGAGATAAGTTTGTATACCTACACTAGGCCTACTCCAGCTGCTGGTAGCTTGCAGTTATTGTTTACATTCTTTTTTTTTTAAGGAAATTATCTTGGATTCATCTTGAATACTTTTTATGCCATGTCCATGTTAGCTTATTTTTAACAAAAATAATGTTTCCCTTCCAAGTTGCCTTTTAACTTTGAAAATAATTTGGAATGCCTTTTACACAAATTGTTATTATTAAAATCTTCAAGTTATATTGTAAATTAATATTTTAGATTCATCTAAATATTAAAAGTTATAAATGAATTGTAATTGGTGGTTTAAAATGTCTACCTTTTCATGGTATTTTGATTAATTATATGTTTTTTTGTTTTAAAATTTATTTCTAAAAAATTAAATAGTTTCATTGAAGTAGGGTAACAGGATATACTAAAATATCCCAAAAATGTTATAACAAAAGAAATGTCAAAACTACAATGTTTATACTAGTTCTAATTGTTGACTGTTTTTATATAAGAATTTTTTTTCCTCAGATGAACTGCAAGAAATCAACTCTGGCCAACCAGTAACTGGTGCCAACACATATACCTCCATAGCTCAACCCCTTCCTAGCTACAATTATTATAACGATCAAAGGTAACTAACTCTTGTTATATTTTCCACTAAGTTTTTCTTATTATCTTAACATAACATTTAATCTCTAGTGTTGATTGATTAAATTAACACAAGTTTGTTTAACAATTTCATCTAAGCTTTAGTGTGAGCTGATAGGTTTACTAATGTTTAAGCTCCGCCTAACTTTTTAACTCCAGCTGCGTGTTTTTGTATCCGCTGGTTTAGCTCTGTGGACAGCCATGACAATGTAGATGACAACAATAACACCACGGATAAAAGCATCTTCCCGCTGACCTCTAAACTAAACCCGTATAACCTCCTAGAGCCGATAACGCCACGTACGCAACCGACCCCGTCAGTCACCAAGTACTCACAGAACCCCAGGATGAAAATAGCAATATCACAGGTGACTTCAGTCAACCAGGTGTCAACATCAGCTTTAAGCTCCCGCACCTGGGGAAGTCACCTAGGGAGGAGCTCACCTCATTATTTAACTCCTATTCCTAGTGCGTCATTAAGATCTGACACTGCTAATGAGAACACAGACATGAGAAGAGAAATACAAATTCCTACACAAACCAGCCAGCAAGTTACCTCCCCTACCCCTAGACCAAGTCAAGCTGAGTCCGGTTCCTATAGAAACAGTAACAGCCAATCAGATTTGAGTAACAACAATGTAAATTATAAACAGCAGAGCATTGATCAAATTATCAGCCAATGGAGTTCAAGCTTCAACAACCTTGACCCTACAGTGGAGAAAGAAAATGCCCAAAAGTAAGAATTCATGACCCCTCATTATGACATCAGGCTAAAACTTCTCTATCAAATTAAAACTGCTTTCAACATGCCAAGATAAAATTGTGTACATTGTTTGCTTTAGATTCAAGTAATTCTTGTTGATTATTAATTGTAACATTAGTTATCTAGATTTTACTTTGCCCAAATCAGTGGCTTAGGCAGTGGGGTTGTTAGAGGGGTTTAAACACTTCCCTCTTTGAACTCACAAAATGACAGCTGTATCTCATTAAGTTACACCTAATGGAAACCGTATGGTTTGCAGTGTGCTAGTGTTTCTTTCAATATAAAATTTTAAATGTCATAAAACCGAAATTTTAAATTACTAATATATTATTATATTTATATAGTCCTATGTATATAAATGGATAGAGAGAATCAAGCTTTTTGACTAAACCTGTTACCCTGTTACTAATATTTTATTTTTGTACTGTATCACAGTATCAGTCATCAGATTAGACAACACATCTAGATGTAGCCCTACTAAATTGCATTATTAGAATGTAGAGTAAAATTACTAGTCTACATGACCCTTGGGCTGAACAAAAAATGTTAATTTCCAACATCTAATATGATTTATTCAAAAATGTCTACTACTAAAGAAATAACTTAACAAAAAAAAATTGTTTTTTTTTTGTAAAGCAATTTTTTGTGTTTGCATATTAAATATTTAAATCTCAATTAAGGAAAATACCTTAAAAATCCAAGTAACAGTTTTGAAATAGTATAGCTATATAAATACAGAATAATATAGGAATTTTTAATTGAAAATTATCATTTTATTAACCACTATTAACCCACCCTCTTTTAACCCCCATTTAAAATCTATATCATCTTAAAGTTATTGATGGAATGAATATTTATAAATGGTTCACATTTAAGCACTCAAAAAACACAGAAAAAACTTTTTGTAGGCATTCAATACACTGGTCAATATGCTTCCTTAAATTTTTTAGATAATTTTTTTTACTTGCTAAACTTTTATTCTAATTTGCAGTATACTATTTATTGTTAACATTTTACCAGAAAGATAAATGAAAATATAACTTCTTCAGACATTATCAGCTATTTATAGTGAAAATATTACTTCTTGTAATACTTGATAAACATTTCATCTAATTATTTTTATAGTATATTGATTAACATTATGATTTTAGCATAAAGATTTTTAAAAAAAAAACATGTTTTTCAGACATTCACAGCTGAGGTCATTGTCGCGCAACGCCCCGCCAATAACACAAAATTTTTTACCCACACAACTGACTAGGGACAAGCCTCTGTCAGCTAAAGACAGATCCAAGAGGTTTATGATAGAATAACCTTGTGTAAGTAGCAAATGTACTCTGTTTCTTTTCTCATAACCCTGTTGCTAAGTTCTATCATACTGATTAATATACTTAAGTAATAAATCTAAAATATAATATGGGCCTACTATAAGCATTCATGAGCTTGAGATATTGATTACTGTAAAAAAATATATATATATAATATATATTTCGAGGAATTCTGTAAGTATCAATAAACTTTATTTATTTTACGTTACTGTTAGTATGAAGAAGTCTAAAATGTATCATGGGCTTACTGTAAGGATATATACGCCTGAAGTGGTTACAGAAAATAAAAGTAAACTGTATATTATGAGACCTACTTTAAGTATTCATTAGGGAGGTATATTGGTTACCACAATTATGAGAAAGATCCCAAAACATGTGTATGTAAGCAGTTGAAAATGTTAGTAGTGGTGCTTTCAATGTTTTATAGAGTAACTTTCTATTGCAACATTATATCTTTCCCCAGATCAACTAAATCCTTGAAATATAGAGAGGCTTTATGTGGTGACATCTATCAAGGAGATGTAGACAATATGACCTGCCATATAGGTGTCACAACCTGTCATATAACTGACATATAAATCCTGCTTTAAACCTGACGTCAACATATGGGAAAACAAACCTCACCAAGCCTCGATTTGATTGACATGATCCAGATTTATTAGGCAACACATTGAAAACTGAACTAGCTTTTATACATTATGTGTTCATTTTGGTAACATTTTGTAAAATTTGATTATTTATTACTGTACATAATAAACAAAAAAACGTCTGTTTGCTCTTTAGAAATGTGTGTGTATCGAAATCAGATTATTACAATGTGTTCAAAATAAATTTAAAACACTAGTATTGTGAGGGAAATGACTATAGATTTGTCTCCCATTCATTTTCAGCTTACTTCCCTTGGTTGTGTATTCTAGCGCTGACTATGTGCCCATCAATGTTCATTTTGTGCAGAGCTTTTGCCGCGGCGCATGCGTCGTCCTCCTTTGAAAACTTCACGTAGGCGATTCCCTATGGACAGATTGTCATATTTTATTTCAAATGCAACAGTTACATTACTCAACGGGACGTTTGCACCCGAAAGTCGAATCCCTAAGTCTAATGACCACACAGAAAAATTGCAATTTTAACATTAATAAATATTAAATATTAATAAATATATCAACTTTTCACATGGGAAAACGAAGCAGAATTTCATCTGTTTCAGAAGATGACTGACATTTTAATGGAGAGTCTGGTCAGCACTATGCCCTTCAGAGCTGAGTGAACCCGGATTCGAACTCAAGACTTTCGGGTTAGCAATCTAGCTTTCTACCTCTGGGCCATGTCCCATATGCATCTCCAACGGATGAAAAATAATAAACAAGCCATAACGTAACAGCCTCGGCGGGGCAAAGCGACAAAGTTTCAGGTTTTTTATCCGCTGGAGGGGGGGGGGGGGGCAATATTCTATACAAATTATATATTTTGTCTACTTCGTCTGGGTAGTCATCCTCGGGAGGGGGGGGGGGTAGTGCCTCCGAGAGATGCCTGAAAGAAACTCCGCAAGACGTCTTCTATTCTAAGGTAATGGATACCTGTCTACATGACTGAGAATATAAGCAAGTAAATTATAACTATAGTCATAGACACCATACTACGTTCAGCTAGTGATTCGAACCCTAAACCGTCGCGTGACGTCTGTTACCTGGAAGGCACCCGTGCTCCTGTGCTTAATGAAGTAGATTTTGGTCACGTGACCGTGTGGTTTGAGCAGGTAGAGAAGTTTGATCTCCTCCAGGTCCAGTGGGAGATTTGAGATGCAGATTGTCTTGACCTCCCCTCCTGTGAGAGACGGGCAGATAGAGCATTCAATGAAAGCTTTGGCGGGGGCCTTCATGCGCTATCATCCGCATGAGTCAATCAAAATTCTTCAAAATAATCTCGAGAGTATAGAGGACAAAGCAATATGTCCTTGTTTTATGTCAAATCGATGTACATTTCTACTGATACTGTAAATAATACATGCTACAAGAACGCTTATGTACAATGTCAGAAAAAAAAAATAGAATGCAAGTGTTTTAAAAATGTTCAAACATAATATTTTGCACTATTTTAATATTGGAATGAGATTTATAAACTCATTTTTCTCGAGATTATGTTTTTTTTTTGGACATACTACGTTTGTTTTCTAATATAACCCTCTTTAAAAACAAAATATATAAATATCATCGAGAAGGAAAAATACAAGTATAATAAATACATAAATAAACAATTTAAGGTAAGATATTATTTAAATAAATGTACATTGAGTCTGTACAAAGTCTGAGTCCACTCAGCTCTGATAGGTACCTGATACTTAAGGGAAGTAAGGGCGGCTGGACATAATGCTGACCACACACCTTTTTTTTTCATATGCGGAGGTCACAGAAACAGGTGAACGCTATTCCATCTGCCCCATGGAGTGCCAAGTTTAAAAGGGTAAGTTTTGATGCGACAAAAAGGAAACCTTATTTCATTCGGTTTTTGTGTTCTTTGTTGTCTAATGTAAATGCGAATCTAAAACTACGGCTGAATTACATTTGTGATTTTGGTGATATTGAGGAACGAAGAGATTAAGATTAGTGTTTTCTTGAGAAAGTCTTATTAGCTTCATGGAAAGAAATAGCCATAATGGCGGATCTAGTAGTAGCTTCCGGATCTTAGCCCCTCCCCCTCCCAGCCTTTTTTTTTAAATAGGGAGATAATGTAACCATATGAAATTTGATTATCTTTTGCTTAGTAGTATAATATTTAATATATGATATTTTATGATCTAAATATTTCTTAATGTTTAATTATATAGCTTTGAACTAGGCGCGGTTATAAAAGACGTGCCTACACAATATCGCATCAGAGATACAAGTGCAGAAGTATTCTTCGAATGTTTCTGTCACTATCACGTGAGTTATATCGTTTCTTGTGGAACTACCTGGTCTAGTTTAACCATGTGTCTCACCTTCCTGAGCGTGCAGCTCAATCAGCTTAAGTTACCTGATCAAGGAAAACAACACACATTACCTTTTCTTTGCCTTTTCCCTTCCACCTGGTTTTGGGACATCTCTATGTCGGCCTTGTCATCGGGGTAGTGTTGAGTGTATTCTTTGGCATCCTGGGTGGATATAGGCATAACCCAAATACTCGGCATATACTGACTACAGAGGCGCGTACGGTTTGGGGGAGGGGGTCTGTTAAGAATGGGGTTCCAAACAAACTGATCCACGGAGCTCATAAATAACAGTTAAATTATGTCTATTGGCCACAGTGCGTACTTGTATCAAATGTTTAAAAAGTTTAATAGCTAAGCTAAAAAGCAATTAGTTTACGTTCTTAAATATCATCAAGTATATGCATGCATGCATGCATTTATGCATATATATATATATATATATATATATATATATATATATATATATATATATATATATATATATATATATAAAAATTAAGACCTTATCACTAAAATAATGACATTTACAATACCTATAGACAGAAAAGAAGGGTACCTGATCGACGTAGCTGTTTGTAGAATCTAGAAATGGCTTAGGATTCGTCTCGTTTTCTGGCATGGGTATGTGGTATCCTTGACTGACAGCGGTCTCGGCGAAAACGGGCCCCATTTCAGTCTGAGAGTTCGGCGTTTTAAACTGGGCCGAGCTCTTCGCTCTTGCGCTCTCCGACCGACTGGTCCAGAAAGTCGGACTTTGAGGCGGGGAGAGCTGGAGCTTGTTATTCTTTTCCGCGGTCTGCGCATGCTCCTGCGCGCCGTTGTCGCCGCGCTTTGGGATGTACAAAAACCGCACGTGCCTGCTGTAGCCTTCGTTGTTTTTCGTGTCGTCTTTAGCCTCCTCGCCCAGGCCGAGGTTCGACGATTTTCTCTCGACGTCGTAGAACGTCGGGTCGGAGATGTGTGTCTCCTGAAACGTGGAGCACGTCTCGGCGCTGATGTCATGTCCGGGCTGGGCCCTCTGCGGAACCTGCAGCTGCTGCTTCTGCTGCTGACGCTGTTGCTGCATCTGGAACTTGGCGTGTTGGCGAATCTGGCTCTTCTCCTGGTCGGCCTGGAAATCTTTCTGCGTGTACACCCCGCCAGGGTAGCACTGGTAATCGTGGATTTCTATCGTCAACGGTTCAAGCTGCTGCCCGTATTTTTCTTCCTTAAACCGTGCTGGAGGTTTAGCGCGGCTGCAGTCTAACGGTGAACTGAATGGGAGCGGGTGTTTTAGATGCTGGACTATCGGCGCTTCAGCGGTAGGGGTGTAATCGGCCTGGACGTCCATGGCGTTCTGTGCCTGCTGGATGTCGTCCAGAGAACAGCGCAGCTCCTGCAGCTGGTGCTGGATCTTGAGGTGGGGAGGCTGCGGCGGCTTGCCCCGCGTGTCCTGCTGAGGTTTCTGCTGCTTCAGCATCTGCTCGATCTGCTCGCTGGCCACGCTCTGGAACAACTCGGACGCCAGGCTGATGATCTTCTGCTGGAGCCTGGTGTTGTCATCGGGGGCGACGTCGTTTGACCTCGGCTTAGCCTCCTCCACGTTTCCCTCGCCCGTCACCCCACTGTTACCGTTTTCCGGCTTTCTGTAAGAGGGCGCCGAGAAAGACCGGGGTTTTTTGGGCGGGCGTCTAGATACAATCACGGGCGCTGGTTCGTCGTCTTGAAAAAACATCGGAGATTCCGGTCTAGACAGAGATCTAGCCGTCCGAAAATTGGGAAGAAGCTGGGAGTTGACCATCTCAATAATTTTCTTGACCATTTCCTCCTGCTCAAAAACTCGCTCCTCGGAATCAATCAGCTTTGGTGGGTTTTTAAACTTATCGCAGGGACACTCATCGCTGCTGTGTCGCTTGGTTTGGAAGGTCGTGCGCTTGGGTTGCGTGTTGTTGAAGCTGAGATACTTCTTGGAGGAGTCCACCTGCATCTGACTGGACACACACTGGCACGGGCACGAGCAGTGCTGCTTGGAGTGGGCCGTCGAGTCCGAGTTCTGCGCCGAGACGTCGCGCCCGCCTTTGGCGCCGCAGTCCGAGAAAGAACTTCTCTGACCGATGTTGGGTTTCTCCATCTCCCACGCGCTGCGCACCACGTAGTTTTTCTGTGGCGCAGAAAACACCGGCGACGGCATGTCGAGATCGTCGTATTTCTGTGTGCAGTCCAGCATTTTCTTCGTCTGTTTCACTATCCCGAACGCATCCCCTGAACAGCCGTGGAACTTATTTTCGCATCTTTCTAAGGAGCGTTTAAAAGTGACGTTGGTTTCTGGTCTGTACCTGGCCTGCCCGTGGGGGTCGTCATCCATCAAGCCGGAGACCTGCTCACGTACGGGTGAGCACTTGTTGAGGTTCTGTATCGCCTTCTCCAGGTTGTCTAACTTTTTGATGATGCTGTTCTGTAGGTTGGCGGGGTGAGCTTGGTCCGTGATGACGGGACGGTTCAGCTCGGTCAGCGCGAAGTTAACTTTCTCCTGGTTGTCTTTGCCAGTCTTCGGCCTGCCGTGGTCAGCTACAAGCCTGCCCGCAGCGGTGTGGGTCTGCAGGTCTTGATGCTGCTGATGCTGCTGCTGATGCTGTTGATGCTGCTGTTGTTGATGTTGTTGATGCTGCTGTTGCTTCTCTGTGGCTAGCGGGGAAATAAAATCATCCGCGTGCGTTTCTCCTTTGCCAAGGCCGTAGAGGAATCTCTGGAATTCTGGAAAACACATTCAAGCAGATGTATAAAGGGAGATTTTTAAAAAAATATACATACACACACACACACACATACATATATATATATATATATATATATATATATATATATATATATATATATATATATATATATATATATATATATATATATATATATATATATATATATATATATATATATATATATATATATATATATATATATATATATATATATATATATATATATATATATATATATATATATATATATATATATATATATATATATATATATATATATATATATATATATATATATATATATATATATATATATATATATATATATATATATATATATATATATATATATATATATATATATATATATATATATATATATATATATATATATATATATATATATATATATATATATATATATATATATATATATATATATATATATATATATATACAATATTTTAAAAAATAACATATTATAACAAAAAGTTATAAAAGTTACCGATAAAGTTATCAAGATCGCCACTTATGTCCGGCCTTACTAACGGGTCGAATCGCTTGGGTGAAATGGTCAACTCTTTGAACTGTGGAGTAGATCCAACGTTACCATAAACTTCAGGGTTATGTGTGTCCGTCACAACAACTAAATAGCAGCGAACTAGCTTCTAGCGAGCATATGATTAACATGGTGCCCTGTCAAAACGGCCCGGGACAAATCGGCCCCGTCAAAACGGCCCCGTTAATACGACCCCGTCAAATCGACTCCCGACAAACCGACCCCGTCAAAATAGCCCCGTCAAAAGGGCCCCGACTTATTGGCTCCCGTCAAATGGGCTCCCGTCATATTGACTTGCGACATATCATATTGACTTGCGACATATAGGCTCCCGACAAATGGGCTCCCGATATTTAGGCTCCCGACAAATGGACTCCCGACATATTAACCCCTGACAAATAGGCTCAGGACATATTGGCTCCCGACAAAGCGGCTCCCGACATATTGGCTCCCGACATAAGGGCTCAAGACAAATGGGCTCCCGACAAATGGGCTCACGACATTTTGGCTACCGACAAATGGGCTCCCGACATATTGGCTCCCGGCAATTGGGCTCCCGACATATTGGCTTTTGGCAAAATGACTCCCGACATATTGGCTCCAGAAAAATGAATGATATGACCACTATTGGCATAAAAGTAACCATTGTGTCCTACCTCCAATACCACCATAACCTCTTTTTAATGCCCGAATGAAATTATTTTTTCATGAACCAACATTAATTCACAAACAAATCGAGCCCTTAACAGCTAAATTCCACCATTTCTAAAGTTTTGATAATGTTTAATTTACAACAGAAAAGATCTGTTGCTTAAAAGCGAGCACAGAAGTGTAAATGTATGATATACATGATGTTAACATGATAACAGCATTTTGTTTTGATAACCTACAAGCACAGTGGCGTAGCGAGGTCGGGTGTCACCCGGTGCGGCACTTAATGGTGTCACCCCCCCCCCCCCAGAGGCGTTGCGACCCTTCCCGGGGACAAACTTTCAAGTTTTCGATTTGCACCCCCCCCCCCCCCCAACTTTCGATTTGCACCCCCCCCCCCCTCAACTTTTTCTCTATATATTTTGCTATTTTTTGCCTTGGTGTCACCCCCCTAAATGGTGTCACCCGATGCGGTCCGCACCCCCCGCCCCCCCCCCCCTCGCTACGCCCCTGTACAAGCATATTGCAGTTAGGAAGGTACAGCGTGGACCCTTCTCCCCACACAATGAGTTGGAACAGCCTATAACCGACTCAATTATGGATGTCATAGATAGATGACCCTTAAATTAAAACATACTATATTTTATAATAGATAAACTAATATAAAAATAAGGCCTGCCGAACAAGAGATGCATACGTTGTATTACATAAGAGTGTTGGATAAGCTAACTCTAAAGAATATTGATGAAGGGGTCCCACTGGCAGATGTCATATTCAATGAGACCGCTTTGCCGGGAGACTTAGTCTCTACAGAAACGGTATTGTATAATACAGTTGAATGTAGCATTGTTTTCTTTATAGTTTACGTTTACGTCGTGGTGTCACCCCCCCCCCCCTCTTGATATAATTTTCGATTTGTACTTAGAAGACTATTTAACTTTAACTAATGGATCTGGAAAATGGCATTTCATTCTATAAATTTTACAATTTTTTGCCTTTGGTGTCACCACCCCTAAATGGTGTCACCCGTTGCGGTCCGCACCCCCCGCCTCGCCATCGCTACGCCTCTGCGTTAGGCTACAGAGGAGTTAAACGAAGAGATCAACTTCTACTTACGATGGATATTTTTTAATATATAAATATTCTGAAGGCAACATTTTGTATTTTATATGTCCTGATTTTGTATTTATACTATATTATTATGCTTGCCTACTACTGCTAAAAAGTTTATTTATAGGCTGATTCTCTCAATGTCTTGCACGACAACGCCTGTAGTGTTATTATAACGATTGGGCTCTGTTTGACCCACAAACACTGATTCCCACTGCCGAAACGGTGGGGGGGGGGGGGCTTTTTGGAACTTTTAACCTTTTTCTTTTTTAAAATTATTTATATGTAACAAATATTAAAATTCCATTGTAAAAGTTTTAATTTTTTATGAGGGAAAAGGGCCCCTATGTGCCTTTGGCCCCCATGCCTTGCTTACGCTAGCTTTACGGTAGCTACGCCACTGTGTCAGTGGTCCTTTTGTCTGGAGCCAAATTGACAGGAGCCTTTTTGTCGGGAGCCAAAATGACGCTAGCCTATTTGTCGGGAGTCGTAATGACGGGGGCCGTTTTGTGGAAAAAACTAAATGACGGGAGACTATATGTCGGGAGCCAAAATGACGGGAGCCTATTTGTCAGGAGCCTTATTGACTGGAGCCCTTTTGTCGGGAGCCTATATAACGGGAGCCTATTTGTCGGTAGCCTAAATGACGGGAGCCTATTTGTCGGGAGCCTATATGACGGGGTCCATATGTCGCTGGCCCTTTTGACGGGGCTGATTTGACGGGGTCGTTTTGACGGGGTCGTTTTGTCGGGGTCGTTTTGACGGGGCCGTTTCGTCATTGGCCGAATCGACGCCGCACGGATTAACATACGTATAACGACCACAATGTCTATAATACCTAACCATAGGGCTGGTAAGTAGGTCACCAACCTCTTCCACGGTTCAATAAAACCTGCATGAGCCATAGAACTGGCTGGTGACCTACTTACCAGCCCTATACCAAATGTGAACCTACTACCATAACAGCTTTTGTCAACCTACCATACTAGATGTGAACGTACCGTAACACGTTTTGTGAGCCTGTCGTAAACCTAACATGACACGCTTTGTAAACCCACTACCCTAACACCTTTTGTGAACCTAACATGATAGGTTTTGTGAACCTATCATACAAGCCAAAACACGTTTTTTGAACATAACATTGAGGACCTACCATACCAGATCGGAACCTACTACCATAACAGGTTTTGTGAACCTATCATAACACGTTTTATGAGCCTACCATAATATTTCGTGAACCTACCGTAACAGGTTTTGTGAACCTACCGTAACAGGTTTTGTGAACCTAACATAACCGGTTTTGTGAACCTAACATAACCGGTTTTGTTAACGTACCGTAACAGGTTTTGTGAACCTATCGTGACACGCTTTGTGAACCTACCATAATATTTCGTGAACCTACCATAATATTTCGTGAACCTACCATAACAGGTTTTGTGAACCTACCGTAACAGGTTTTGTGAACCTACCCTAACAGGTTTAGTGAACCTACCGTAACAGGCTCCTCTGATTCGGGCGGACTTTCTAGTAGTTGTTGGCTGGCCTTTTCCTTCCTGGCGACATAATCGTGAAACCTGAGCTCCAGTTTTCGCAACCTGCGGCAGGTTTCTCTTTCAGCGGGCGTGGGACGTGCGTCCGGTGGGGTAGAACTAACTGCGGTACACAATACACTCAAATTATAGGAGGTGGGGTAGAACTAACTGCGGTACACAATACACTCAAGTTATAGGAGGTGGGGTAGAACTAACTGCGGTACACAATACACTCAAGTTATAGGAGGTGGGGTAGAACTAACTGCGGTACACAATACACTCAAGTTATAGGAGGTGGGGTAGAACTAACTGCGGTACACAATACACACAAGTTATCGGAGGTGGGTTAGAACTAACTGCGGTACACAATACACTCAAGTTATAAGAGGTGGGGTAGTATAACTACGGTACACAATACACTCAAGTTATAGGAGGTGGGGTAGAACTAACTGCGGTACACAATACACTCAAGTTATAGGAGGTGGGGTAGAACTAACTGCGGTACACTCAAGTTATAGGAGGTGGGGTAGAACTAACTGCGGTACACAATACACTCAAGTTATAGGAGGTGGGGTAGAACTAACTGCGGTACACAATACACTCAAGTTATAGGAGGTGGGGTAGAACTAACTGCGGTACACAATACACTCAAGTTATAGGAGGTGGGGTAGAACTAACTGCGGTACACAATACACTCAAGTTATAGGAGGTGGGGTAGAACTAACTGCGGTACACAATACACACAAGTTATCGGAGGTGGGTTAGAACTAACTGCGGTACACAATACACTCAAGTTATAAGAGGTGGGGTAGTATAACTACGGTACACAATACACTCAAGTTATAGGAGGTGGGGTAGAACTAACTGCGGTACACAATACACTCAAGTTATAGGAGGTGGGGTAGAACTAACTGCGGTACACAATACACTCAAGTTATAGGAGGTGGGGTAGAACTAACTGCGGTACACAATACACTCAAGTTATAGGAGGTGGGGTAGAACTAACTGCGGTACACAATACACTCAAGTTATATGAGGTGGGGTAGAACTAACTGCGGTACACAATACACTCAAGTTATAGTAGGTGGGGTTGAACTAACTGCGGTACACAATACACTCAAGTTATAGGAGGTGGGGTAGAACTAACTGCGGTACACAATACACTCAAGTTATATGAGGTGGGGTAGAACTAACTGCGGTACACAATACACTCAAGTTATAGGAGGTGGGGTAGAACTAACTGCGGTACACTCAAGTTATAGGAGGTGGGGTAGAACTAACTGCGGTACACAATACACTCAAGTTATAGGAGGTGGGGTAGAACTAACTGCGGTACACAATACACTCAAGTTATAGGAGGTGGGGTAGAACTAACTGCGGTACACAATACACTCAAGTTATAGGAGGTGGGGTAGAACTAACTGCGGTACACAATACTATAGGAGGTGGGGGTAGAACTAACTGCGGTACACAATACACACAAGTTATAGGAGGTGGGGTAGAACTAACTGCGGTACACAATACACTCAAGATATAGGAGGTGGGGTAGAACTAACTGCGGTACACAATACACTCAAGTTATAGGAGGTGGGGTAGAACTAACTGCGGTACACAATACACTCAAGTTATAGTAGGTGGGGTAGAACTAACTGCGGTACACAATACACTTAAGTTATAGGAGGTGGGGTAGAACTAACTGCGGTACACTCAAGTTATAGGAGATGGGGTAGAACTAACTGCGGTACACAATACACTCAAGATATAGGAGGTGGGGTAGAACTAACTGCGGTACACAATACACTCAAGTTATAGGAGGTGGGGTAGAACTAACTGCGGTACACAATACACTCAAGTTATAGGAGGTGGGGTAGAACTAACTGCGGTACACAATACACTCAAGATATAGGAGGTGGGGTAGAACTAACTGTGGTACACAATACACTCAAGTTATAGGAGATGGGGTAGAACTAACTGCGGTACACAATACACTCAAGATATAGGAGGTGGGGTAGAACTAACTGCGGTACACTCAAGTTATAGGAGGTGGGGTAGAACTAACTGCGGTACACAATACACTCAAGTTATAGGAGGTGGGGTAGAACTAACTGCGGTACACAATACACTCAAGTTATAGGAGGTGGGGTAGAACTAACTGCGGTACACAATACACTCAAGTTATAGGAGGTGGGGTAGAACTAACTGCGGTACACAATACACTCAAGTTATAGGAGGTGGGGTAGAACTAACTGCGGTACACAATACACTCAAGTTATAGTAGGTGGGGTTGAACTAACTGCGGTACACAATACACTTGAGTTATAGGAGGTGGGGTAGAACTAACTGCGGTACACTCAAGTTATAGGAGATGGGGTAGAACTAACTGCGGTACACAATACACTCAAGATATAGGAGGTGGGGTAGAACTAACTGCGGTACACAATACACTCAAGTTATAGGAGGTGGGGTAGAACTAACTGCGGTACACAATACACTCAAGTTATAGGAGGTGGGGTAGAACTAACTGCGGTACACAATACACTCAAGATATAGGAGGTGGGGTAGAACTAACTGTGGTACACAATACACTCAAGTTATAGGAGATGGGGTAGAACTAACTGCGGTACACAATACACTCAAGATATAGGAGGTGGGGTAGAACTAACTGCGGTACACTCAAGTTATAGGAGGTGGGGTAGAACTAACTGCGGTACACAATACACTCAAGTTATAGGAGGTGGGGTAGAACTAACTGCGGTACACAATACACTCAAGTTATAGGAGGTGGGGTAGAACTAACTGCGGTACACAATACACTCAAGTTATAGGAGGTGGGGTAGAACTAACTGCGGTACACAATACACTCAAGTTATAGGAGGTGGGGTAGAACTAACTGCGGTACACAATACACTCAAGTTATAGGAGGTGGGGTAGAACTAACTGCGGTACACAATACACTCAAGTTATAGGAGGTGGGGTAGAACTATCTGCGGTACACAATACACTCAAGTTATAGGAGGTGGGGTAGAACTAACTGCGGTACACAATACACTCAAGTTATAGGAGGTGGGGTAGAACTAACTGCGGTACACAATACACTCAAGTTATAGGAGGTGGGGTAGAACTAACTGCGGTACACTTAAGTTATAGTACACTTAAGTTATAGGAGGTGGGGTAGAACTAACTGTGGTACACTCAAGTTATAGGAGGTGGGGTAGAACTAACTGCGGTACACAATACACTCAAGTTATAGGAGGTGGGGTAGAACTAACTGCGGTACACATTATACTCAAGTTATAGGAGGTGGGGTAGAACTAACTGTGGTACACAGTACACTCAAGTTATAGGAGGTGGGGTAGAACTAACTGCGGTACACAATACACTCAAGTTATAGGAGGTGGGGTAGAACTAACTGCGGTACACAATACACTCAAGTTATAGGAGGTGGGGTAGAACTAACTGCGATACACTCAAGTTATAGGAGGTGGGGTAGAACTAACTGTGGTACACTCAAGTTATCGGAGGTGGGGTAGAACTAACTGCGGTACATAATACACTCAAGTTATAGGAGGTGGGGTAGAACTAACTGCGGTACACAACACACTCAAGTTATAGGAGGTGGGGTAGAACTAACTGCGGTACACAATACACTCAAGTTATAGGAGGTGGGGTAAAACTAACTGTGGTACACTCAAGTTATAGGAGGTGGGGTAGAACTAACTGCGGTACACAATACACTCAAGTTATAGGAGGTGGGGTAGAACTAACTGCGGTACACAATACACTCAAGTTATAGGAGGTGGGGTAGAACTAACTGCGGTACACAATACACTCAAGTTATAGGAGGTGGGGTAGAACTAACTGCGGTACACAATATACTCAAGTTATAGGAGGTGGGGTAGAACTAACTGCGGTACACAATACACTCAAGTTATAGGAGGTGGGGTAGAACTAACTGCGGTACACAATACACTCAAGTTATAGGAGGTGGGGTAGAACTAACTGCGGTACACTTAAGTTATAGGAGGTGGGGTAGAACTAACTGTGGTACACTCAAGTTATAGGAGGTGGGGTAGAACTAACTGCGGTACACAATACACTCAAGTTATAGGAGGTGGGGTAGAACTAACTGCGGTACACATTATACTCAAGTTATAGGAGGTGGGGTAGAACTGTGGTACACAGTACACTCAAGTTATAGGAGGTGGGGTAGAACTAACTGCGGTACACAATACACTCAAGTTATAGGAGGTGGGGTAGAACTAACTGCGGTACACAATACACTCAAGTTATAGGAGGTGGGGTAGAACTAACTGCGGTACACAATACACTCAAGTTATAGGAGGTGGGGTAGAACTAACTGCGGTACACAATACACTCAAGTTATAGGAGGTGGGGTAGAACTAACTGCGATACACTCAAGTTATAGGAGGTGGGGTAGAACTAACTGTGGTACACTCAAGTTATCGGAGGTGGGGTAGAACTAACTGCGGTACATAATACACTCAAGTTATAGGAGGTGGGGTAGAACTAACTGCGGTACACAACACACTCAAGTTATAGGAGGTGGGGTAGAACTAACTGCGGTACACAATACACTCAAGTTATAGGAGGTGGGGTAGAACTAACTGTGGTACACTCAAGTTATAGGAGGTGGGGTAGAACTAACTGCGGTACACAATACACTCAAGTTATAGGAGGTGGGGTAGAACTAACTGCGGTACACAATACACTCAAGTTATAGGAGGTGGGGTAGAACTAACTGCGGTACACAATACACTCAAGTTATGGGAGGTGGGGTAGAACTAACTGCGGTACACAATACACTCAAGTTATAGGAGGTGGGGTAGAACTAACTGCGGTACACAATACACTCAAGTTATAGGAGGTGGGGTAGAACTAACTGCGGTACACAATACACTCAAGTTATAGGAGGTGGGGTAGAACTAACTGCGGTACACTCAAGTTATAGGAGGTGGGGTAGAACTAACTGCGGTACACAATACACTCAAGTTATAGGAGGTGGGGTAGAACTAACTGCGGTACACAACACACTCAAGTTATAGGAGGTGGGGTAGAACTAACTGCGGTACACAATACACTCAAGTTATAGGAGGTGGGGTAGAACTAACTGTGGTACACTCAAGTTATAGGAGGTGGGGTAGAACTAACTGCGGTACACAATACACTCAAGTTATAGGAGGTGGGGTAGAACTAACTGCGGTACACAATACACTCAAGTTATAGGAGGTGGGGTAGAACTAACTGCGGTACACAATACACTCAAGTTATGGGAGGTGGGGTAGAACTAACTGCGGTACACAATACACTCAAGTTATAGGAGGTGGGGTAGAACTAACTGCGGTACACAATACACTCAAGTTATAGGAGGTGGGGTAGAACTAACTGCGGTACACAATACACTCAAGTTATAGGAGGTGGGGTAGAACTAACTGCGGTACACTCAAGTTATAGGAGGTGGGGTAGAACTAACTGCGGTACACAATACACTCAAGTTATAGGAGGTGGGGTAGAACTAACTGCGGTACACAATACACTCAAGTTATAGTAGGTGGGGTTGAACTAACTGCGGTACACAATACACTTAAGTTATAGGAGGTGGGGTAGAACTAACTGCGGTACACTCAAGTTATAGGAGATGGGGTAGAACTAACTGCGGTACACAATACACTCAAGATATAGGAGGTGGGGTAGAACTAACTGCGGTACACAATACACTCAAGTTATAGGAGGTGGGGTAGAACTAACTGCGGTACACAATACACTCAAGTTAAAGGACTTGGTTTAATAATCGTGGTAGATCTAGATACAGTGAACAGAAAGTCTAGTTATTAAAGAATATTCAATTAGCGAAACGGAAATAAATTTAGCGGGGAAAAGTCTGGCTATTGGTTGAATTAACTTTGTAGCTGCTGGTTACATTAGCTGTGTGGCTGCTGGATGACTTACCTGTGTGACTGCGAGATGACTTACCTGTATGATTGCTGGATGACTTACCTGTGTGATTGCTGGATGACTTACCTGTGTGACTGCTGGATGACTTACCTGTATGTTTGCTGGATGGCTTACCTTTAAGTTTGCTGGTTGACTTACCTGTGTGACTGCGAGATGACTTACCAGTTTCAGCCGTCGAACCCGTTGCCGCGGTGCTGGACTCTTTCGTCGAGGCTTCGCTGCTTGATTCTGATTTGTCGTCTTGGTCTGGCAAAAGTTGTTAAATGCATACAATGGTGAGCATTGCAGATCAAGAGCCGATTAAGGAAAATTGGGAAAACAGAGTAAGCATATTATTATGTTAGAACTTGAACGAATGGTAATAACTATACGATGGGGGAAATGTAGACCACATGTCACTTTATTAGAACTAACAACCTGACAATAAATCAACATACAAATGGAAATGCTGACTATATATCACTATGTTACGACTTTAACAAGTAGTATAGGTATACGATGGTAAATGTAGACTAATTATCACTATGTGAGAACTTAACAAACTGACAATAAATCAACTGTAGGAGAAATATAGGCAACATATCATACATTAAACAAACAGTACAAATATACAATGAGGAAATGTTAAAACTTAAATAAAAAGCAATAATTGTACGATGGAAGCGTAGACCAAATACCAGAACTTAACAAACTGGTTATGTTAAAACAAATAGTAATAAATGTACGGAGGGAATTGCAGACTACAACGTTAACACAAGCGGACCCACCAAAGAGCTCTGTGGCCATAAGGATCAACTTGACACAAGCAGAATAGGCCGTCTCCAGCTTCTCCATGGCCTTGGTGAACTGCCGAGGTGTGATCTCTGAGGCTGCCTCAAGCCTGGAGTACATCTTCTCCGCCTGCAAGGAGTGGAGCAGTTGTTTAGAGAGTTATCCATTATTGACGCCCATAATACACTAAATTGTTGACTCTCGCCTTTGAGTCTGTATTTTTCGGGTGCTATTTAAAACACAGTGAAAACGAATTCGAGGCTAATAATTAATTCTATCAATGGCCTAAACTTGGGGTTCTACTCCCACCATATTCTCGACTAAAACAGCGATATAAAAAAAATGAATGAAATGCTGTATTATCATAAAGGTGTTTTAATCAGGGTTTCTTTCAGACACTTTTTTCCGGAAGGGGCACTTAAAACTTCAGGGCGGGGAGCTGAAGATTGGATGGAGACTGATTAAATTATATATTTTATACATACATTTTGATATCTATTCCATTACGTTCGCGAGAGGGAACAGTTTTTTTATAAGAACCATTTTCACTTGTAATTGTATAGCTTCCCGAGCCCTAATCCTTACCCTAGCCAAGGCACACATCTTAAGTCTGACACGAACTAAGACCTGGCGATCACAAATAAGTGATCTAACAAACACGTATCAAAGTAAGCATAGTTGAAACTGTCGGAGTACTCACGTTTTGGTTTTGATAATCTCGATTTTGTTTAAACTCTGAACTAGAGATCACAATAAAATACTTAAAAAAAACTTTTTAAAAAACCACGTTTTTCTTGTGGACTAAAAAGTAGAAAATAACTATTTACATACATTTGATGACAAAAAACGTGGGTCGGGCAGATGGGTCGGGAAATTTGATGGTGAACGTACCCACGTTTTTTGTCATCAAATGTATGTAAATAGTTATTTTCTACTTTTTAGTCCACAAGAAAAACGTGGTTTTTTAAAAAGTTTTTTTTAAGTATTTTATTTTCTCCTTTTTAGTCCGTTGCTACACATGAAAAACGTGGTTTTTAAAAAGTTTTTTATATAGTTTATTTTCTACTTTATCTAATGACTTGATTAAGTATGAATTGACTAAATGTTTATAAATACACGGACTAAAAAAATCTTGAGCGACCAGGATTCGAACCTGGGTTGTCGCGGCCACAACGCGAAGTACTAACCACTATACGATCACGGCCAGCGCGCTCACATCGATTGGGGCCGAAGTAACTGTGTCAACAAGCCTCCAGTCTTGTCGGTATCTTTAGAAATCATGTCCTCAATTTTATGGTCCTTTGGGCGTAATTAAATTAAGCTAATTACGGTCTCTAATTGCTAGTTTTTATGATTGCATCTGAAATTGTTAGGCGAAAGTAACCTGCATGCCAAATTTCAGATCTATAGAGCAATCAGAAGTGGGCTAATTTTCGATGTCAATTTTAACAACAAACACATCCACGCGAAGCTGAGTTAATAAAAACGTGTTAAAAATGTGACCTTATATCTTTCAATATATCAAAATATCAATAATCACGTTTTAAACATATCTAATAATAAAATTATCTATTGTTGGTATCGATGAGGATTTTGTTCTAGCTTTGACTTAGCGATCACACAAAAGTGACCTTACATCTAAATGTCATAGTTGCACGTATGGGAGTACTCACATTGATGGTCTTGATTTTGTTCTAACCCTGACCAAGCGATTTCAAACAGTTGACCTTAGGTATCAGTGTAAACTTAGTAGCATGTGTGGAAGTACTCACGTTTTGAACATATCCATTGATGGTCTCGATGAGGATTTTGTTCTAACCCTGACCTAGGCATTACAAACAGTTGATCTTAGATATCAGTGTAAACATAGTTGCAAGTGTGGAAGTACTCACGTTTTGAACATATCCATTGATGGTCTCGATGAGGATTTTGTTCTCAGTACTGATCAGCTTGAGCTTAGTTTTCAGCGACCTCTTGATGGCTTGTCTGGACACCAGTATGGGAGATTTGGGCATGGCGAGTGGTTTGTTGTTTTTTATAACTATCGCGACCAACTACTCACGGGGACTTAATTGTATAGTACTACACATGAACCCCCCATAAGGAATCCAGACAAGGTTACAAGCATGTTACGTTGTGGTGTCACATCAGGAAACTTACAGCAACGCCCCGAGTTCTAATCTCATGGTCTATGACAGAACATCCCTTTACGGGTTTTTGAAAAGCATGAAAAGAAAGGCTTTATCACCGCGAAATCGGACAAGATTTACGGGTCAATGGAAGGTATGACTGAAAATAAAGATTTGACGGTAAATACAAGACTTCTACTGTTGAAAACAGTTCGGTGCATAACAAAAACTAGACCACTTTAAGGCTAGAACTAGCAAAGCACCGAAGTGTATAGATGTATTAGTATTTTCTGCAATCAAATACTCGCAACTTATAAAATCAACTACACTTCAATATGTTTAGTTGTCTGCCATTTTGTTTATTCCGGAAAGTCTAGTGCGAAATGGTGCAACGCGTATAGTTTTCATGGGAATTTCCCATACACAGATCAAACTTCTAAACAAAACGGAAAAAACAAATGCGATTGTCATTTATGAAAGTGTAGACTTGTGCCTAGTGTATCATTGTCGTAACAAACGGAAACAACAGTTTTCTTATTATTAGCTTTTTAACCCTTATTACATAAGGAAAGAAAATTAAAGCATACTACTTTCAGAAATTCAATAATAAATTTAAATATATTTTAATAATACAAATTTGAAAAGGAAAAAAAAAATAGCGAGAGTTAATTTACTTCTTAGTGGCAAACGCAATTTGTGTACATTTGTTTTGTATTACAACTTTTGATTGGCAGATATTGCCATAGGCCCAAAATGCCATGACTCTAAAGCTGCTAAAACAGTAGTTGTATTGTTTTTAATAGCAACGTAATTTATGTTTTAAACTAAAAATACATTATTTCAGTTTCAAATTTCAATCAAACTAACGTATCTAATAAGAAATATCAATACCATTTTCTGAAAGTGTCTTCTTAGGCTATTAAATATTAGGCTATTAAAAAGTCACAATTTTAGTTACTTGCAGTTTTATTTTATTTATTTATTTATTTTTTTTTGCCTCAGACATGTAATTAAAATAGTTAACTATTGGCTATGATATTCTTTCTGTGGATCAAACTCTTTAAAAATAAGGGAAGTAAAAAATAAATAAAAATCAAAAGGCATACATAATTGTGTCCCTTTGTGGAGGTTTATTTTTTTTTTATTCATAAGTGAAGAATTTAACACACGTAAAATAATTAGTAAATGTTTATAAATATATCAACAAATGCTTGTAATGAAACCAACACTCTAACAAATGGCTTTAAAAAAAACCTTCATATTGGTTGATTGAGTGGCTAAACTTTGTTAACTTATACCTCATGACTGGTTACTGTTCTAACATAGCTAACTTAAGTCTAAGAAGAAAAAAAAACGTAGAGTTTTCTTTAGAAACTGTCGGCTCACGGGGGCAGGTGAAGTAAAGTTTAACTGTATTTTGACAAAGACATATTATGAAGAAGTGTTGTGGTAATCACTATGCCCAGCCGCCTGTACTTTCCCTAACGTAGGCCTAAGTCAGGTGCCAATTTATAAAGGTACCCAAACTCAAGACTTTCCAAAAAGCAGTCAAAAGCTCCACCATTAAAGTGACCAACATTAGAGAAACTAAAACTTCCTAAAATGGGCAACAAAAACAGCAAAAATTTTTTGAACTGGTCAATACAAAAACAAAAATATCCTAAAATTATAAAAATAATTAACATAAACTTCATAAAATGTTCAACAGAAACAAACTTTCTAAAATGGTCATTATAAACAGGAAAAACTTTCTAAACTAGTCAATGTGAAAAATGTTTCCTAAAATTGATAGAATAAATAACAAAACCATTTTAAAATGGCCAGTATAAGCAACAAAAACCTTCAAAAATAGCTAGCTTTCCAAAAACATCACTAAACTTTTTAAACCAGCTAGTCAAAATTACACTAAAACCTTTTAAAAAAAAGCTAGCTGCATACAAACACTTAACTTTTTAAAACTAGCGAAATTGACACTAAAACCTAAAATAACTAGCTTCCCAATAAAAAATTACACTAAAACCTAAAATAGCTAGCTTCCCATTAACAAAAATGACACTAAAACCTAAATAAAAACTGACACTAAAACCTGAACTAGCTAACCTAATCTTTGTTTCTTACAACCAGATATAAAGTTACCACCCTCATCTCCAGAGGCTTGTTCTTGCGTATCAGCTGTAATAATTGGAAACAAATGTTCACCATAAGGGTATCTAATCACTCATACTTGTGTACAACCTTACAACACCATTGTCTATTGTATGCAATGGAATAGAAGTAACAAAAATTACATGTATACTATTAGTCTACTTAAAATATATGTAACAATTGTAAAACAAAAAGTATACATGTATTAAAATAAGAGTAAATTTGTGTCTAACATTGCCTCTAAAAAAAGTAATTTGCTTCATAGGCTAATAGTTAAGTTTCATTTCGAACATGGCAGCCCACGGGGCACGTGAAGTAGACTTCACCCTTTTTCTGTGACCTTGGCATATGAAGGCATTGTGTGGTCAGCATTATGCCAAAACAACTTTACTTTACCTATTGTAAGTCAGGCACCCATCAGAGTTAGGTGCACTCAGGGATGTGCATTAACTCTAGCCAAGGACCTGATCTTGAGACTTTTAGGTTAGCAGACAAATATTCTAACATTCAACCATGTTTTCCATACAATCTACTAGACAATTGGATAAATGCGCCTTGGAAATCAAGGCGCAAGGCCTTGTCAGTAAGTTGAAGTGAGCCCGACATAGCCCAAGTATCAGATCCCCCTCTCTCTTTACACAGCTTACGCTCTGAAGGGAAAAGCGTTACTTATACACCACTAACAAAATGAATATATTCACATCTTACCTGGGTGGTCACCAGCTTGACCACTGCACTCAGGTGAGTCGTCTTGTACATCTCTGGAAGGTGTCTCAGGTATACAAAGATCAGATGGTTCCAGTCCCTTCTCAGACTGACAGGTGTCATGAGATGATGATGAGAGATGATGAGCAGGTGATAAGGTGGAGCCTCTACTGGCAGATATCACAGAGAATAAGGTGCAGGCTGTGTGGGCAGTGTCTGGACTTCTGGGTGTTAATCCCTGTCAAGGTAATACAGTAGCACACTTTTTAAATCAGACTATACTTAAAAGTATCCATCTGCTCCATATATATATATATATATATATATATATATATATATATATATATATATATATATATATATATATATATATATATTGAAATATTTATATACAGACATATACATACACAAACCCGCCAACAAGTTGTTTAAGAAGAAAAATTGTGATTTTATGATATTTACATTTTGGAAAATAAAGGCATTAATATCACCACCAGTGTGCAGTTACCAATAGCTGAAGTTTATGGTGAAAGAACATAAGAACAGTCTGTATGTATACATATATGGTGTAGGGAGGTTTGAACATCTCTAACACATCCCCAATTTTAAACAAATAGAGAATATGGTAATAGATAATGAAGATTTTAAACCTTTAATTATTTTAATATTTTGTGACTCTAATTTTTTCTGAATGAAACTAATTAAAATACTGTTTTATTTTACTAACAAAATAATATATTGTTTCAACTTGGATGAATGATAAATTCACTAAAAAGTGTGCACCAAATCTAAATCAAGAGTCTTACCTGCATGTGTATCTCTAATTCCTCAGGGAAGTTGACAGATTTGTTGCCAGGTGCTCTGTGACTGTATGGTCCTGTTCAATCAACACATCCATTGGTTAGACATTCCTATATAATATTAGATCTCTTCTTTCATTGTGGGGAATCATCATCTTTTCTGTTGGTGCCAAAGACACATGGGCAGATGAGGTTAAGTCCACCTTGGCATATGAAGGAATAATGTGGTCAGCACTATGCCCAGTCGCCTTTACTTTCCCTAATGTGAGTTTGGTACCCATCAGAGCTGAGTGGACTAAGGGACATTCTATTGACTTGAACCCAGATTTGAACTCAAGAATTGTGACAAATACATTATATTAATTGAGTCTTCTTCTAGACATATTTATTTACAAAGGATTCATCTATGGGTCTATTTACAGCAACCACTTCTACTTAACCTGCTGAACAAAATTTAAAAAAAAAAACAGAAATTTTTATTTTTAAATTGTAAATTAAGTGACAAGATTTCTATTTCCATGAATATAAAACTTCTTATGATGAGGTCACAGACACAGGTGAACTCTACTTCACTTGCTCCATGGACCGCCAGGTTTGAAAAGGACTTTTACTCTACCATATAAAACTGATTTAAAAAAAACATTGTACATTCAATGTTAAAATACCCTTACAAAATTCAGTTTATCAAAGGGTTCAACTGTAGGTACTACCAATACTTTGGACTCACCTCTCAGTATTCCTTTAGGCAAAAGCTCATTTTTGATTTCTTTAGACACTTTAGGAATGAAAAGAGGCTGAAATAAACTCATCTTCTTCCTTCCTCTGGGACTAACAGCAGATGTTTTTTTACTGCTGGCTTCCATATTGCCTGGGTGCTTGGCTTGAAACTGTGGATGCTTAGATACCTTCCTGCTGGTTGTGAAAGGGTGGGGTAGGGTGCCACTACAATGCTGCAGTGAGATTTTATCCTTTGGTGAAGTTCTAGAAATTTTGTCAGTATTTACAGATGTTTGAGGTGAAGGTCGCTTCTTGTTTCTACCACCTTGATGAGTCCAGTGTGAGGGGTCAGGGTGACATGTTACTGGCTTTAGAGTGTGGATTTTGTTCCTACTGTGTTTTGTCAAAGGATGGGTTGGTGACTTGCCTGTGTTTGATGTCTCATAACTGCCCTGCTCTTGTTCCCATGACTCTAAGGCGTAGGATAGCTGGGCTTTGGTGGGTTGATCTGATGTGCTGGGTGGGACACCTTTTACATTTGTGGTTGGCTGGTCTAGGTTGGTGTTGGAAGAGTAAGTAATTGATGATGTATTGGATGGAAGGTCTAATTTGGTGTTGGATGAGTAAGTTACTGTTGTTGTACTTGATAATTTGTCTGATATTTTGTTGGATGTATAAGTAACTGATGTATTTGATGGAAGGTCTAATGTTGTGTTGGAGGTATAGGCAACTGTTGATGTATTTGAATTCATGTTTGAAACTTCGGATAACCTTTCTGGTTTCATGTGCCACTTTGCCATTCCATCTCGTGTCACCATTGAAGGTCCACCAGCTTCTTTGCACTTAGAAATCTTTAAGGACAGAGATATCCTCCTTGGTGCAGTAGCTTTTTGTTGTCCCTCCTCAACATTATCTAGCAGATATTTATCTGCTGGATAATTTATATTCCCTGCAGGTTTCTGCTGATCATAGACAGACAAATCTGGTACAAACATTGCCGGGGTAAGACTGTGTTTAGAAGTGAAAGGGGAGGGTAACTCTAGGTTCTGTACACATCCTTCAGAGTTATCTTTTTGTTCTGCTGAGTCTTTCATCTCTTCATCACTGTCATCAAGCTCAACAAGTTCTACTTCACTGCTGTGAGATGCTCTTATGCTGTGGCATGTGAAGTCTTCATTATAGCATTGGGACTGACTTGAATCAACATAACACAGGCTGGTACTGGTTGGTAGGCTTTCATCATTCAATTCATCAGATGTCTCAGAATCACAAACAGTATCAACACTCAAGGTGTGTGAAGCAGTGAACAGAGAAGTGCTGGTGTTATTGTTGGTGGTGTTAATGTTGGTGGTTTTGATGTGATGTAGAGTTTCAGACTTGCTATTTGATGATGCAGTTGTGTTGATCTTATATAAATTGTTGGGGTTAATGTTATTCAAGTTAATGTTGTTATTATCATTTAATGTGTTGGTATAATTCCTCAAATGTCCCTCTGTATTTTTGCTGTTGTTGTTATCCAGAAAATGTCCTGATGAAGTGGACATTGCACTAGAACTGACAACAGCAAACTCCAGAACTCTAGACGAACTGACCAAACTTTTCTCAGCACACGACCAAAAGGACTCAGGAGCAACAACTGCAGTGGGGACTGTCTGAACAACCTTATGTGCTACATCCTTCCTCTGTCCATCACTGACACACATAGCTGTCTGGCAGCCCAGCGACTGCGTTAGGGGGGTGATGGTTTGTACAGCACAGCCCACAGACTTCACTGAGGGGGACTGGACCTCCTGGTGAGTGTACTGGACTATGGCTGTTTGTGTTATGGCTGCAGCCAGATCAGGACACGATTGGCTGGCTTTATCAGCCAGAGAAAACACTGAAAGCTCTGTTTGTGTGGAGATGTCTAGCATTGGGACTTCAAGCTTGGCCTAACAAAGTAAAAAAAGCAATTCTATTTTTACCAACATTTAGATCTTTATATCGTATCTACATATATTAAATGAAAATAATTTATGAATAAAGTATTTTATTAACATTTATGAATTACTTACTTTATTAACATTAATGAATTAATTATTTTATTAACATTTATGAATACATTATTTTATGAACATTTATGAATAAACTATTTTATGAACATTTATGAATAAATTATTTTATCAACATTTATAAATAAATTATTTTATCAACATTTATGAAATAATTATTGATTAACATATATAAATAAATTATTGATTAACATTTATGTATACATTATTTTATTATTAATATTTATGAATAAATAATTTTTTAATAACATTTATTTTTAAAATTGGTTAAATGTGTGTTTATGACAATAGCCATAAGAGTCAATGACCAAATGAGCAAAAAGCCAATTACCCCAATGAGGGTCAGATCTAAGGGATAGTTTTGGGGGATTAGCTTTCCCAAACATTTTGGATTTTTTTTGAGGAGGGGGGAGGGGCTGACTTAAAGATGAACAAATATGTATCTCTAGAGAAACCATTTAACAGTATCAGATCTACCCTCAGGGAGATGATAGTGTTGGTCATCTCCTGGTTTCTGTCCATTAGCTGCTCATTCATGTCCTCTAGGCATGTCCTTGCATGTGTCAGAGTGGTCAGCTGATCAGAGAGTTCTTTCATGGTTTCCTCCATTTGGTTATCCTGGATTTATAATCTTGTTATGAAAATGATGAATTCTAATAAACAATATTAAGTTACTAAGCAACAAAATTTACCACTCATTTATAGATTACTTTAACTGCTATGGATCCTAGGAGCCGTATACAGTGGCGAGGTTGGGTGTCACCCGGTGCGGCACTTAATGGTGTCATCCCCCAGAGGCGTAGCGACTCTTCCCGGGGGACAAACTTTCAAATTTTCAATTTGCACCCCCCCCCCCCTCAAACTTCCGATTAGCACCCCCCTCAAACTTTCAATTTGCACCCCCCCCCCCCTTCAAGATTTTCTCTATATATTTTGCTATAAGTTTTTATAGTAAATAGTATCAGAACTTGTATAGAACTAATTATTTTAACAGATATAGGTCTTATTTATTAAGTGGCATTTAAAACTAAACACATGTAATACAACTAGTGTTATATATAGCTATGAACAGTGACATATTAAAACAAAAACTTAAGCAATTTTTCTATGTAAAATACTTCATATTCATATTTAGAGTAGTGACCTACTACACTTATTTATATTTAAAATGTTTTATCACTTTATTTTCAAGCAATTAAACTTTAACGATTTAATAACATATAAACCAACCTTATCAGCCCACTTAGATCTGTCCTCTATGAAACAGTTCTCCTGCTCCTGTAGCCTCTTGTCTGTGTCCATCAGTTGTCTGACCATCTCAGTACACTGGCAACTGAGTCTCTCACACTCTTTGGTCATCTTCTCAACCTCTGCCTTGGACTTGTTGGCGTTGTCCAGGTGTTTGTTGGCTAGACTGTGAGCCATGTGGACACTGGTCATGGCTTGCTGAGATCAGGTCACATTACAGGGACCCAGTGGTGAGAAAAGTAATGAAACAATAGGCTACTTTCAAGTTTAGACATTCTATGTGTGTTCAAATTAGACTAAAGTTTTATTAAATGTTTCTAATAAAAGTTTTTTAACTATATGTTAATTAAAATAAGTTTTTGTGTTGAAAAATTACATTGACAAAAAATACTTCAGTTATTTTGTGTAAAATATGTCTAGGCTTATATGACAATAATATGTCTGTCTAATACAAGACTATGTATGAAAATAATATGAGGAGCTACAACAGGACTGTTTGACAACAATGTCTGGCTCTAACAAGAATGTATGACAACAGTGTCTTTCTATAACAATACAAGAAGACATGGCGCTGAAGTGGACTCCACCTGGAAAACGAAAGAGAGGAAGACCACTGGGAACATGGAGGAGAGAGATGGAAGAACAAATGCAGGTTACTGGCAAGACCTGGCACAAATTGAAGTGGCTCGCCCAAGATAGAGTGGAATGGTGAAGATTTGTTGCTGCCCTATACTCCATAGGGAGTGATGAGGATTAAGGAAGGATAACAATACAACAAAACTATATGACAACAATATATCTGGCTATAACAAAACTATATGACAATAATATGTCTGTCTGTAACAAAACGTAACAAAACTGTATGACAACAATATATCTATCTATAACAAGACAGCATGACAACAATATACCTGCCTATAACAAAAACACTGTAATGAATACAGTTTATGTGGCTACAAGAATACATAGACAGTAGGCCAACCATGTGTTGGTTAAAAACTCTCATACCCTGCCCAAACCGTGTGAGTCAACATACCTTCAAATTTTCCTCTTCTTGTTTGAGCTCCTCTTGTAACATTGCTTTCTGTTTCTCAAGCTTGTCGTGTGTCAAAAATAAATTGAAAAAAATTATGGCACAAATAATTTTTTTTAACAAGAAGGATATTTCTCGATCATTTAAAAAATAACTAACCACAATAAAAAAAAAGTAGTTTTCTTTCAAACAATGGCGGTCCATAGAGTAAAGAAAATAGAGTGCACTTGTTTCTATGACCTCAGCGTATGAAGGAATAGTGCCACTATTATGTCTTTTTACCTTTAAATGTAAGCATAGCCAACATGCAGCGATGTAGCAAGTAAGGAGTCAAAGCGACAGGGGCAATAATCGTTAATATAATTACAACAAGCGGGAGATAGGGCGAGAAATTTAGTGGCCTTTGTATGAATAATAAAATTAGCAACGAAGCTTACTTAGAATTTACATTTGGTTGCATAATTAGACCATATATTGGCGTGATATCCACTTGGATAATTTAGATCAGTCGTTCTTAACCTGGGTTCGATCGAACGTCAAGGGTTCGGCGAGTCAGGGTTCGGCGAGTCAGGGTTCGGTGAGTCAGGGTTCGGTGAGTCAGTTTTAGGGGTTCGGTGGAGGTCAAGACAAACACCCGAGTAATACAATTCAGGATCGGATTTTGTCAATGCGGACGATAGAACTATTAAAAAGGGTTAGATAAAAGCGCATTTGAAACTGGGGGGTTCGGTTCCCTCAAAAAGGTTAAGAGCCACTGATCTAAATTGTTAGCCCAAAATACGCTGCATTCTGTTGTCCGAGTCTGATCAAGTTCAAACCCATTATGATGTGTAGCCATGACAAGTCGAGATTACTATACATTCATTGTAGCCGACTGGGCACGTGATCCGTTTCATTAACAGAACTCTTCTTTATCAAATTGGTCACCCAAAAGAGTAGTCGCATACATGCTTTAAATCTAAGGTGGTGAACATTTAAAATAAAACGTCTTACATCAGTGATGCGGACGTGTAACACAGCGATATTTTCCTACTTAGTCGAGATTACTAGACATTCATTGTAGCCGACAAGTTACGTGATAAGTTAATTATAAGCAGAGGCGTAGCGAGGGGGGGGGTGCGGACCGCACCGGGTGACACCATTTAGGGGGTGACACAAAGGCAAAAAATAGCAAAATATATAGAGAAAAACTTGAGGATGGGGTGCAAATCGAAAGTTTGAGGGGGGGGGGGGGGTGCAAATCAAAAACTTGAGGGGGGAATGCAAATCGAAAGTTTGAGGGGGGGGGGGGTGCAAATCGAAAGTTTGAGAGGGGGTGCAAATCGAAAATTTGAAAGTTTGTCCCCGGGAAGGGTCGCTACGCCTCTGGGGGGGGGGTGACACCATTAAGTGCCACACCGGGTGACACCCGACCTCGCTACGCCACTGATTATAAGAACTCTTCATCGAATTGGTCACCCAAAAGAGTAGTCACATACATGCTTTAGTTCTAAGATGGTGAACTTTAAAAAATAAAACGTCTTACATCTGTGATGCGGACGTGTAACCCGGCGATAATTTCCTACTTTAGTCGAGATTACTAGACATTCATTGTAGCCGACAAGTTACGTGAGTTGTTCATTATAAGAACTCTTCTTCATCAATTGGTCACCCAAAAGAGTAGTCACTTACATGCAGTGGCGTAGCGAGGTCGGGTGTCACCCGGTGCGGCGCTTAATGGTGTCACCCCCCAGAGGCGTAGCGACCCTTCCCGGGGACAAACTTTCAAGTTTTCGATTTGCATCCCCCCCCCCTCAAGTTTTCGATTTGCACCCCCTCAAGTTTTCAATTTGCACACCCCCCTCAAGTTTTTCTCTATATAGTTTTGCTATTTTTTGCCTTGGTGTCACCCAGTGCGGTCCGCACCCCCCCTCGCTACGTCCCTGCTTACATGCTTAAGTTCTAAGGCGGTGAACTATAAAATAAAACGTCTTACATCTGTGATGCGAACGTGTAACCCTGCGATAGTTTCCTTCATCTCCTTCAACTGGAACACCTCCACGGGCTGGGTCGACGCCTGGATCTTCAGCTGCAGTAGTTCCTCTTGTAGGCGAGCCATGTCGGCACATTTCTCTTTCATCACACAGTCGTTGTGGCGTACCTGGCAGGACAACTTCTGGTTGATGCTTTTAGCTTGCACGACTGTCAGAGAGAATAGTGCGTTTTATTACTGACTAAACAGGAACAATGGAGTTTTTTTCTTTTTTTTTTCGGTGACTTGTGAGCGAGAAAGAAAAATGTTTTACACCATCTGGAGAAGAAAAGGTTTTTTAAGACAAAACATAAACACGTATATATTATTAAATTGGATGCAGACGAATTGCAGCATTTTTACACCCTCTAGAAAATAACAACCTAAAAACGTATTCATAATTAAATAAGTTTCAGTCGTATTGCAATGTTTTTACACACTCTAGAGGAAAAATGTTTTAAACACAAAATATTAAAATTCAAAAAGCTAACACATTAGGTAAGATGCAGCCATGTAGCAAAAAAATTGTTTGATATTTCAAGAAGTGATGTAAGAAGATTTTTTTTGGTGGAGGGGGGGTGTATAATCGATCTTTACATTAAAGAAGTATTGCCAATACCTAGATTCGGGTTAGGGTTCAGCACGGGTAACGTCTACGGGTTTGTTAAACTTACAATCTGGAAGTTAGGTCAATTATCGTTATCTGCGATTCTCAAAATTCATTTAAGGAGGTCGGGATAGCCGAAAAGTGACCAGTATTGATATTACAGCATATACAAACGTGCGATACTTGTTAATCTTTTAACGCCTTATTAATACATGTGTTATGGAAATAGCGTTATCAACTAAGGGACAGAATCATAATCTGATTGGATTGCGGGCCCTGTGGGTCTATTGCTAATGTTGGTTTTGAGCTAGTGAACGAAATGGACCGGTACTATTTCTGTGTCACGTGACCTCTCGATATCGGGGTAGATTGACATCTAGTTATTTTACAATTAGTCCTCTTACACCTAGCTCTCTTAACCTAGTCGACATCGTACAGAAATTATCGGCAGATCATTTATTGCTGTCATTATTACAGTCTTCATCATTTTAATAATATGGCGTGGTCATAACCATGTTGTATTACGGCTCGGTAGACCTATAACACTTGTACCTGTGTGACGAACGGCTACCCTTGGCTTCACAATAAAGCGCGCCTCACAGGCATTACTTAACAAAGTGTGTACAATGTTTTCTATTAGTGCCAGACCCTAAACGGCTATCCTTGGCTTCACAATTAAGTGCGCCTTACTGGCATTACTTAACAAAGTGTGTACATGTTTTCTATTAGTGCCAGCCCCTGAACGGCTACCCTTGGCTTCAAAATAAAGTGTGCCTCACTGGCATTACTTAACAAAGTGTGTACATGTGTTTTCTATTAGTGCCAGCCCCTAAACGGCTACCCTTGGCTGCACAATAAAGTGTGCCTCACTGGCATTACTCAAAAAAGTGTGTACAATGTTTTCTATTAATGCCAGCCCCTTAACGCAATTAACCTCAGTAGACGACCATCACATAACATCCCCCACTGAGGCCATGTTACACATATGGCAGGACTCGATAACAAAAGTTACCCAGTTCGTGTTAGAGCGACGCCTGCGATTGGAATTAAAAGGCTTGGCCGTACGGTCACGATTAACGGGTTTACCTGGCACGGTACGACCTAGTTACTCTGTTGACCTAAGGTGACACAGGCGTCGGTGCCAGACACGGTGTGAATGAATGAAGCCGGGCAGTATCGAGTGTCTGGTGTTCGGTGTAGCTGCAGGAAATAGCCTGGTGCATGTCGATTACTAGCTTGGTTAAATGTTGTTGTTTGGTGGGGGGGGGGGGGGGGGGGGGGGGCGTCAATAGGCTGTAAGCTAACACGATCGATTCGGATCACAGACGATAGAGGATCAATACATAAACAAGAGGTGAGAAACACGTACAATTACAGGCTAGGTAAACAATAACAGGTGAGGAACATGGACAATAGCAGGTTACAGAATTGACAATAACAGTTGAGGAACATGGACAATAACAGGTGAGGAACATGGAATAAACATTTGAGGAACCTGGAAAATAAAATATAAAGAGCATGGACGATAAACGTTGATGAGCATGACCAAAATAATAAAGTTCAACAATTAAATGAACAAGTAAAGAAAAAGTAAGAAAAACGAATAATATTTAGACCACGATCTTGACCATGAAAGGCGAGGAACATGGACAGTAGAACACGAACATGGACAATAGACCCGGAACGTGGACAATAGACCAGGAACATGGACCATAGACCAGGAACATGGACAATAGACCAGGAACATAGACAATAGACCAGGAACATGGACAATAGACCAGGAACATAGACAATAGACCAGGAACATGGACAATAGACCAGGAACATGGACAATAGACACGAAACATGGACCATAGACCAGGAACATGGACAATAGACCAGGAACATGGACAATAGACCAGGAACATGGACCATAGACCAGGAACATAGACAATAGACCAGGAACATAGACAATAGACCAGGAACATGGACCATAGACCAGGAACATGGACAATAGACCAGGAACATGGACAATAGACCAGAAACATAGACAATAGACCAGGAACATGGACAATAGACCAGGAACATGGACAATAGACACGGAACATGGACAATAGACCAGGAACATGTATAATAGACCAGGAACATGGACAATAGACCAGGAACATGGACAATAGCATGGACCATGTAGCATACCATAAATTTTTTTCAAATTAGCAACGGTTCAAAACACCAACAATAAAATTTCAAAATAACACAAAAAACCAACGGACAAGAAACACGGCCATTGCGAGCAGCTCGATTACAGCAAGCAGATTGTACATGCACCGTCGCCACATTTGATGGCAACACCAAATAAACGAGGAAGCCAACACCAACTCGTTAAACATAAACACCGGTGTTCGCTGATCGATTGCTGAATCGAAGGTCCGCTCCTTGTTAGACACACGCTAGCCTAAGGTGTTATGTTCGTGATGGGACTTGGGATAATGAAACTAGGATTGTACATTAGAGTTCAGGCAAGTTTTTTTTTTTTTTCACAAATGATATTAACATTGTTTTGTATGTGTTTTTTTTAAAATAAGGGCTGTGCGTTATGTAAATACTGACAGGGTGCTGCAGAATCGTATAAATGTTTTGAAATCTGCAGGTGTTGATGAAAGGGTTAAGGCCAGATTTGGGGTTAAGATAAGTTCCGGGCTTGCGTTAGATTCAGGGTAGAATTACTAGTTAGTAAAAAAGTAGTGAAAACGTATTAACTACTTTTTAGTTAATACAAAATGGTGTAGGCAATGGAGAAGAAGATTTCGCGAAGGAATAGAATGTCGTTTGATGAGATGTCAGAGTGTCATAAAGTAAGACACTCCATAACTAATGTCAGTGTCATACAGCTAGACACTCCAAACCCACTAGCAGAGTGTCATTTGGTGAGATACTCCGTAGCAAATGTCATAGTGCCGTATAGTAAGACACTCCATAACTAAATTCAGATTTGCAAACAGGAAGACACTCCACACCAATGCCATAGTGTCATAAGGTAAGACACTCCATACCCAATATCATGTCATACAGAAAGACTCTCCATAGCCAATGTCAGCGTGTCACTTGGTAAAACACTCCATATCCAGTGTAATAGTGTCATACAGTACGACACTCTAACTCTATACCAATGAGAGTGTCGTACAGTAAGACACCCCATACCCAATGTCATAGTGGCATAAGGTAAGACCGTACATACCAATATCAACAAGACACCCCATACCCAATCTCAGAGTATATCACTTTACAAGACTTAAGAACACACTTGTATTATATTTTGACTTATCGAGTCATATTTACCTATCCAGCACTTTAAAAAATTGTCAATAGACCTACGTGTCTGTATTTCTTCCACTAAACGTGTAGCATTCATTCAAAAGACCCAACAGTAAACAGTAAATTTGTAACTTAAGCCTGCATTAATGTTTGCGAGTGGGTAATAGAACATTTTCAATATTTAGAAATCACTTTCGGATATATATTTACACTGTATATGTACACTGTATAATCTAGACAGCAGACGACTTGACTGTGATGACAACTAGGACTGTTATGGTTAACGCTGATGAGTTCAGGTTAAAGTTAAGGTCTACCACAGAAGTAGGTCCATTGATTTTAACTTAAATTGTTCAACAAACAAAATATATATGCAAGGATATTTTAACCCTCCCACCAGAGGCGTAGCGATGGGGGGGGGGGGGGGCAGGGGGGTACATATGTCCCTGGGCGCCGACCTTAGGGGGCGCCAAAATGGGTTGTAAAAACAAATTAAAATGTCATTTTAGCTGCACTTTTGCATTATAAATAGTTTGAAGGGGGGGGTGCAAATCGAACGTTTGAGGGGGGGGGGGGTGCAAATCGAAAGTTTGAGGGGGGGGGGGAGCAAATCGAAAGTTGAGGGGGGGGGGTGTAAATTGAAAACTTGCTCCCGAGGGGAGCGCCAAATTGAAAGTTTGTCCCCGGGCGCCGGGAAGGGTCGCCACGCCTCTGCCCCCCACGCACACAATGCGATTAACCCATCGCCAAACATTCAGCAATGTACGTTTCATTCAGACTGTCTGAACGTACATTCTTAGCTAATACTAACACAAGCTTATAACATGCTAAATATATCCAAGTTTATATGTCAGTTAGCCTTTATTTAAAAAAAAAAAAGACTCAAGACTAAATAACAAACCAACAACATAACTACAACAACAATATATAGGACTATGTGTTTGAAAGTCTCCTAACATATCCATGTGAAAGAAAGCTGATCGTCTCGATAGCTGAAGTAAGCTGAGCTAGAGGTGGCTAGCGTGCTAGTGGTGGTCATAAATCATGTAAAGACACTTTAGACCGAATACTGTTGTAGTAAGGGTCGCGTAAATAGCAGTGTTGTCGTAAATTGTCTGAAGACAGTCTATCTCAACAATATAATGTTATAACGAGATTCTCAAAACAATGTGAACATTTAATGGTGTAAAGAAAGTCTAGACCAAATACTATACTGTTATTTAGGGGGATTCTCAAACCAGAAATGTCGTTATTAATTATTTAAAGACACTTTAGACTAAAAACGTTTTTAGTAAGGGTCTCGAAAAGGCAGTCTCGTCGTAAATCGTCTAAAGACAGTCAACAATATAATGTTGGCGTAGTGGGGTTATCAAAATAT